CCTCCCACGCCCACCCAGAAGCCTGGGGACCCGGCCCAGCCTCTCTCCCCCACCTCTAACTAGTCTCCACACCCTCTTTATTCCATCTTCTCAGCCCGCTGACGTCTGCCTCTCCCGAAGCCCTCCACGCGGCTAAGCGGACGTCTCAGCAGAGCAGGGGAGAAATCATTAGGGCCAAAGATGTGAGGGCCCCACTTTTTCTTTTTAATTTCAGAGAGTTTGTCTTTTTTTAAGCAGTCACAGGTTCACATCAAACATCACAGGGAGGCACAGAGACTCCCAGCATGCCTCCAGTCCCCATGCACACACAGCCCCACCCTGCAGAACAGAGAGCGTGCTGCCCCACAACAGCCCTGGCTGCCCCCAACTGGATGCAGCCCACTGTCGGCCCCCAGGCTGCACGTGGACGCACGCCCCCACCTTGGCTTCCCCAGCGGCCCCCTGCAAGGGAGGGCCTAGACTATCGATGTGCCAGGGGGTGGATGGCCCTTCCAAGAGGAGATCAACGCCAGACCAGCAGATGGACACCTCTGTCCGCCACAGGCAGCACTGGCCACCAGCAAACACAGGGTGACCCTCCACACGGAGTCACCAGACGCCTCGGACGCCCAGCACAGATCACGGCCCTCGTCTCAGGAACAGCCTTCTGCGCCCCGACAGGATGCACTTCCATAGAAGCCGCCGCCGGCTCTCCCGAAGCAGTGCCCGCCCATCACAAGGGAAACCTGGTGTGACTGCTGTCTCATCAAAGGCACAGAGCGAGCCTGGGTCACCGAGCGTTTGATCAACGGACCAGAGGGAAGCCACCACCGCCCCAGGATCAGGAGACGGGGCCGCCAGACGAGGAGTCCAGGGCCACAAGGCAGCACAGAGCAGCATCAGCGAGGGCGCGGGAGAGGGTGCGGTCTGACCACAGGCTGACCCAGCCCTCCGGGAGCAGACGGGCAGCAGGAACATATGCAGACGCTCAGCCCCGAGTCCTTCCTGAAAAGCCTGCTACAAACCTGCTTATTTCTCTGAAATCATTTCCTCGGCATAAAGGCGCTTTCTGGAGGAAAAAAAAAACAAAACTGAAAGCCATCAAACACGAAATGATGGAAAGAAAGTAGAACTACGACACATCCACAGGATGGAAACTGAACAGCCATGAGGAGCCACCAAAATGCTGCTCATGTGGACACTGGGCCACAGGAGTGCCCCTAAGGCCACTGAGATGCATACTGAAAAACGGCCAGAATGCTGAATTCTACGTCATGTATGTTTTACAATAAAAAGTGCTGCTAGGAAGAAAAACATCAGGGCTTCTGTGGTGACTGGTGGTGAGGGGTCCTTCTGCCAGTGCGGGGGATGTGGGTTCGATCCCTGACCCGGAAGGAGTCTACGTGCTGCCGGGTGACAACGCCAGCGCGCCAGCCACTGAGGCCTGCACAGCCGCGCTGCCAGAGACGCCCCGGACCCTGCGCACTGAGCTAGAGGGCAGCCTGCCCACCGCCCCCACAGAAAGCCCGCGCACAAAACAAAGACTTGGCACAGCCGGAAATAAATAAATGATAAGTTTGAATAAAAAAGAAAAATCTAACAAAAAATGCACACATACACGATTATCCACATCTGTATGTAAGCGCGTCCTGCAAGCAAGGAAACTCCTGGGGGAAACGTAGGGGTGGCACACGGGTGCGACTCCACCATCGCTCCTGCTCCATTTAAACCCACCAAATCCCAGAGCGGCTCTGAGGCTGTGCTTTGCCAGGGGATACAGACTATTCTGCCCCCTCAAGCTTCCACCTGAGAACAAGCCTGCCTCCTCGCTGGCTCCCTCACCGAGGCCTGGGTGCTGGGCACCGCACCCCAGCCAGGGCAGCACCCCAGGAGCTAGGCCATCCCCGCCGGCCTGTGTGGGCAGCTGCAGCCTCCGCGCTTATCAAGGCCACGGACATGTGCTTCCTCCTCGCCACACAAGGGGAGAAATGCACCCCTTCCTGGGCTTCTGGCCTGCCGGCCTCCTGCGGAGAGGGGCCCGGGACCAGGCCCCACAGCAAGAGCGTCTCCAACCGCGGTCACCCTGGTCCACAGGTGCAGCAGGCAAGACGCCCGTGGGTTTAAGGACACCTCAGGGTGCTTCGCGTTTGGGGATCTCGGGTCCATCTGAGCGCCCACTGCAAATCCCAGGGACTCTCCCCAGTAAAATGTACCTGCTTGTAAAAGCTCGCAGGCGATTTCAGAGACTCCACCCAGTCAGCCTGGAGCCTGGAACCCCGGCCTTCAGGTCACCCTTCTCCAAACCTCAGTCCTCACCTGTTGAATGCAGGCCGGAAACTGCCCCTCCAGGTGAGAACCGTTAATCAATCCTCCTAAACCTCTGTGCCTGCCAGGCCTCTCCCCCGCAGGCTCCAGACCCACAGCCTCTTTGATGACTCAGACCCTCCAAGGCATTCCTCTTGTCTTTCTGTCCAACCCTGCCTCCCCCCACCACCCCCTTCTTGGCAAGAGGCACCCTTTCACTCGGGACTCAAGCCAGTCCTAGGAGTCACGGTCCAGGCCTTGCTCCTCACCCTACCCCCATCCCCCAGCAGGACCAGGAAGGCCCCCCGAGCCTCTCACTCCACATCCACTCCCACCAGGGGACAGATGCACCCCCTCTCCCACCAGGTGTAACAACACCAAGCGTCTCTGGCCACTGCAGATGCCCCTGGGGGCAAGAGGCTCCATCCCACTGGGACCCTCTGCTCAGGTCTCATTCTGAGGCCTCAGGTCTGGCCAGACCCTGCCTCTGGCCTCCAAGCAGGCTGCCTGCCTCGGTCCTGCTGAGAGCTCACATCCCATGGGACACATCATCTGGCTGGGGTCGTCGTGAACAAGTCGAGTCAAGAGGCACTGTCAGCGCCTGACTCTCCCCCTCACACGTGCCGGGAAACAGCACGCCCCCGCCCCTGCCCCTGGGCACCCACACCTCTCCTACACAGCGAGGAACCAAAGAAAAACAGATGAAAGCCGCAAGACAGTGTTCAGCTACCAACTGAAAAACAGCTTTTCACATTAAACCAGCCAAAGCCATGGAGAAGGGCATGGCAACCCACTCCAGTATTCTTGCCTGGCGAATCACTTGGACAGAGAAGCCTGGCAGGTTACAGTCTATGGAGTCAAAAAGAGTCAGACACAACTAAGCAACTCTGCTCGCATGCATGAGCACGCAGGCAAGCACAGCTAAAGCTGGTTAGGGTGGGTGGCCACAACCACACCATCTGCTGGTGGGTCTTGAATTGATGCTCCCTTTGGAGAGACCCTGATCACACCAATAAGATCTCTGAAACCCAGTAAGTCCATCTTGAATTTCAGTAATTCCACCTCTAAACAATGCTACATGCAGAAAGAGAAAAAAATCTATGTATGAATAGGTTCATATGGCATTACTTTCCAAAATAAAAAAAATTTTTCTCAATTGGAAACAACTGTCCAATCGTGAGTAATAATGTTGAGAAAACTTTGGTGAATCTTCTCCACACAAACTACACAATCATTTACAGTGAGGACTATGAGGAATGTGTAATAAATGCACAAGATAAAACTGCATCCATAACATGATTCCAACTTTGTTTCAAAACCACGATGAGCGGGGGGGTACGGACAGGTGGGAAGGACTCCAGGTGATTTCTACTTCTTTCCACTTCTGAACTTTCCAGATTTTCTTTAAAAGGCATGTATTACTTAAAAATGTGCTTTAACGTGTTGTTTCAAAGGGAAGGAATAAATCCATTCGTCTGGGTTAAGGCTCTGTGTCCACAGGGGCCCGCATCAGAAGTAAAACACTGCGGGGCTCAGGGACACAGAAGTGATTAAAAGCGAGCTGGGCCCCAACTGGGATCCCGTTTAGTCCCCAGGAGGGGCGGGCAGTGTCAGACAGGTCCTGACACAAGGACCTCGGGAGGAGCCTGGGGTGACCCCAGAGAGAGTGCCTGGGGCGGGGGGCGAGGGGGAAGAGACAGGGGACGACGGGGGACGAGGGGGGACGAGGGGGGACGAGGGGGAGGGGAGCTGCTCAGGGCTCCTCTGGGGCTCCTGCCCATCTCCTGCTCCCAGCCCCCGCCCACATCAGGAACCAGGAGGGGTGACGGGGGTCATCCAGGCAGGAGGGGGCAGGGCGGGCAGCCGCGGTCTGAGGGGCCCGCACCCGCCTGGTCTCAGGACTGCGGACCCTCGGCAGGCTGACCTCTGCAGCTGCACCGCGCCTCGCGGCGGCCGTTCGCTTTCACCCTGAGCGCAGAGTGCACCTCTGATGGCCCCTGAGTTGAGAACTGCTGGTGACCCCACAAGCGACAGTCACAACCACCACTTCCCAAAAGATCCCAAGCCTTCCGCCCCCCCCCCCCCCAGCCCCAGAGCCTGAGCCGCGAGAGAAGACGGGGTCCTGTGGGGGCCTCCTAGGGGCTGCTGAGCACGTAGCGGTGGGAGGGAGGCCGGGGGAGCCCGCCGCCGACACCCCTGCCGCGGGGCCAGGCCGCAGCCACTGACCTTCTCCAGACTCTCGAAGTGCTCGCGCAGGAACCGCACGGGGCGCTCGGGCTTGGCCAGGCAAAGCTGCACGATGCAGTCCCTGAGCACCTGCTGGACGCCGCGCCTCTGCACGTAGACCTCACAGGCCCTCAGGCCGTCGTCTTCGTCCCGCTGCTGCGCCCCCGGCGCGGCCATGGCGACGCGCGGCGCGTCCTGTGGGAGAAGCGGGTCCGCAGGCCGCGCGCCGCCAGCAAGCGCCCGGGCCCGACCCGGCCTGGCGACCGGGGCGTCTGCCCTGCCAGAGGCCCCTCGTCCTCGAGGCAAAGCTCACCTCTAGGCAGATGCTCGCGGGGGCGCGTGGGGGCCCGCCAGGGCCGGGGGGTGGAGAAGCGGGGAAGCGGGGCCGCCGGCCTGTGCGCGCAGCCGGCCAGTAAGGGGTCTCCTGTGCGACCATCCCTCCCCTCCCCGGACCTTCCTGGCTAGAGGGCCTCCCGCAAGCTCCCCGGGAGATGATGGGGGCGGGGGCGGCGGGGGCGGTTACACGATCCGCAGGAAAAGGAAAGGAAACGGGAAAGGAACGAAGCCAGGAGCCGGGCCTCCCGGGAAGACCAAGCCGGAGAACAACGGCAGGGCCGCGCGTCCGGCCCGCGCTCGGCCAGGTCACAATGACAGCTCGGAACCCGGCCTGCCGGCCCGCGCTGCACGCAGCTCGGCGACCCCGGCCCCCGCGCTCAGCCCACCGCGGCACGACGGCCCGGGTCGGGCTAAGAGGCGGGGGCTCCCCCAGGGCCCACGCTTCCCGGGGCCTCCGGACGGCCGAGGGCTCCAGCGCTGACCCTCCCCAGCCCCGCGTACCTGGATGCGCGGCGCCCGAGGCCGGAGGTGGCTGCGCGGGGACGCGGGCACGGCGGGCGAGCGGTCCCGCACTGCAGCGGCGCCGCCCTCCGCCCGCCCCCGCGCCGCGCCGCGCGGTCCACCCTCCTACCGGCCCACCCCCACCCCCCTCTCCCCGCCGCCGAGATCTCCCGCCTGGGCAAACTACTCTTGCCCCCGCTCCCCCTCCCGTCCCCGCCTCCTCGCCCTCACCCCAGACATGCAGGCTGACAAGCCCCACGTCTGACAGACCGACACACATCAGTGCGCTGCTGCGCTGCCAGGAGGGCCACCACGACCGCCCCCACGCGCCCGCCTCACACCTCCACCCCCCACTGGAGGCTCGATTACCCAGATTGCCCATCTGCCTCGGGGGTTATGGCGAGCACCGCCCCCCCCAATCTGGGTGTCACCTCTGGGTCACAGGGCCTGCACTGCATTTTGCCCCCATTCTGCCTGGGTAGTGGTAGAAATGTCATTTCAGGCAGTTGGGGGTCCCCACCCTTTGCCTGGAGGCTTCCCAGATGGTGCTAGCGGTAAAGAACCCTCCTGTCAATGCAGGAGATCTAACAGATGCTGGTTCAATCCCTGGGTCAGCAAGATCCCCTGGAGGAGGGCACGCAGTCCACTTCAGTATTCTTGCCTGGAGAATCCCACGGACGGAGGAAGGTGGCCTGGTGAGGAGGGTGACAAAACCGGGGGCCAGGTTTCACATGACAGACTTCTGTGGAGGCATACTCTCCAGAGCAGGCTTCTGTTCTCAGGGCCTCCTGGGTGCTCCCAAGATCTGTGCGGGGCCCTCCCCCGCATGGTCCGCGGGAGGGGCACCCTCTCTGAGGCTGGCCTTCGGACCCCAGCACCCCCCCACCACACACACACACCCTTATCTTGCTGGATGTTTTGCCCTGGCAGAGAGCCCCCGGACCGTGGCTGGCAGACCAGGTGCAGTGGCTGGCAGGCAGCTGGGTGCCCGGCCCCCCAGAACATTGCTCCCCGGCCCCTCTCAGCTGGGACTGAATGAGCCCCATGCTCCTGCCACCACGGGGGCAGCCCCCACCAGCCTCTCCCCTCAGACCCTTCTAGGCCCCTTGGGGGCCTACCTCAGGGGACCCCACGTCCAGGGCCTGCAGGTGGGCCACCTAAGAGCCCTGCCCGCAGTCCAACCTGCTGGCAAGCCCCCTCATTTCTCCTGGGGTCCCAGCCCCCTTCACCGGTCACTTGGGTGAAAAGGAAACACTTCCCATTCATCCAGGCACTCACCGCTTTGAGGCAGGGAGCCAGGGGCCCTCAAACCAGGCCCGGCCTCCCCGTGTCCAGAACCGGGTGGCACTGACCAGTTGCTGCTGTTGAGAGGCTAAATAGTGTCCGACTCTTGCGACCACATGAGCTGTAGCCCCAGGCCCCTCTGTCCACCGGATTCTCCAGGCAAGAATACGGAGTGGGCTGCCACTTGCCCCTCAGGGGATCGTCCCAACCCGGAGGCAGAACCCACATCTCCTGCACTATTGCTGAGCTGCCAGGGTAGCCCAGTTAACATTCCCAGTGATGGCACAGTGATTCCTCGCAGCTGATCCAGGTGCCTCCACCCTGAACTACATGACCCACGCCCCTTCCCGCAAGATGCGGGGTGAGCACAGGGTCCATCAGGGAAGCCGACTAGACCGTGGGTGGCCAGTGCCCTTGCGTGGGGACAGCAGGGATGCCCCTCCTGGAGCAGGGTCAGGGAGCTGTGTGGACCAGTGTCGCCACGCACAGCTGGGTCAAGGTCCCTACCTCCCTGGGCTGGACAGTGACAAGCTCTGGTTGACTGGGCGTCCTGAAGACGTGAGGCGGGGATTATGTCATCGGCAAACGTCCCCACAAGTTGTGCTGGCCTGTGTGTCCCCTCCACCCCTCCTGCTTTCCCCACAGAAGGGCTGCTCGTGCCACAGCCCGGGATCCTCACCCTGCCCTGGAGCCTGAGTCTCCAAGTCTTGCAAAGGTCCAGCTTCAAAACCACCTTATTTTCCAACCACCTGCTCCCCCGCCCCAGACTCCTGGTGGTGCCAAGTCCAGTTCACCTGCCAAGATTCAACAGGGACATTGCTTCTGCGAGGAACCCTCCCTGCCTGGGGCCCTCACACCTGCAGGCCAGCTTGGGCCCTTGGGGGTGCCGCCGGGGTCTCCCTGCAGCCCTGGCTCTGTGCAAAGTGAGCCGGAGGCTGACTGCTGAACCTGCCCCCTTCTCTGGCCCCTGCTGTGCCGAGCACCCCAGGGAGTGTGGACGCTGCGCGTCTTGTCCTCTAGGTCCTGAGGGGCAAGGAGACAGACGTGGGTACCTGCCCAGGCAAGGGAGGTCTCAGCACGTCCCCCCACCCGGGGGTGCTGAGCTGGGCTTGGCAGGCGGACTCCTAGGTGGGTCCTGCTTCCCGACCAGCAACAGCGTGGGGGCCATCGGGGGCTTCACCTGGAAGACCCTCCAGTCTCCCGCCTGTGGGCGTGGAGGTGGGCGTGGCTGCCGGCACCTGCTGATTGGGAACCAAAGGGAAGCAGGTGATCAGTCCAGTGACCACAACACTACCAGTCACAGCTCATCCAGCCATGTCCCTCCTGGTGGGGCTGGGGGGATGGTGGCAAGCTCAGCCCCCTGCACAGAGCAGAGCCGTCAGGGCCTGTGCAGGTGCAGAAGAGGAGCCCAAGCAGGAGCCCGAGGGGAGGGACCCGTCCTGGAGCTCGGGGCAGGGCTCCGGGAGGCGCAGGCCACCCAAGGCGTGGGCCCCCAGGGAAGGACCAGCCCAGGCCTCCAGGGCTGCCTTCAGGGGACACACCCGAGCCCTGCTAGACTCCCGACCCACTGACACAAGACGATCAGGAGTGTGAGGCCCTGCGTTTGCGGTGATCCCCACAACATCTGCAGAGGGCAAAGGCAGGGACGCCCGCGGGCGGCAAGGGTCGCCTGTCCCCAGTGCCCCAGGCCCTGGCCCCTCAGCTGCGCCTGGTCCTTCCTCTTCATCCCCGTCGTCCACAGGTTTCTTGCCCTCAGCTTTGTGAGGAGGGGCTGCTGTGGACGCCGGGACCCCGAGCGTCCCACGAGAACCGGCCTGAGGGGCTAATGAACAGACCGACCAAGCGCGCTGGCTCGCAGCTGTTTGTTGTGCTGGTGAAATGACACAGTCCAGGACACTGAACGGGGGCTCCTGGAACAGACCTGAAGTCACTCCTTCCTACCCTGACCGGGTCTTTAAAATCCATTTGGAGGAGGAGGTTCCCTCCCGACTCCTGCCTATACAGTTGGGGCAGTTCCATCACATTTCGGCTCAAACGTAGAGAATTTCAAAGTTCTACCATTATGTCAAGATACATACCCAGTGTCACCTCAGTCACTTTAAGTGTCCAGTGCTATGAAGTGGTCAAAACTGCAACCTGATTTAAAGTGTTTTCCCTCATCCAGCCGGGCCGAGGCCAGAGACCAGACTGGGAAAAAGGAGAAGTTTGCCTTCTTCCTCTTCCTCGAGCAGCCACCCCACCACAAACTTGCCAACTGGGCTTTGCCGCCTATCACATCGGGACAGCCTCTGGCAGCTAGGATGCCCAGGCCCCAGCCACCGCACCAGCCTCAGTGCCTCGGGACAGCCTCAGGCAGCTAGGATGCCCAGGCCCCAGCCACCGCACCAGCCTCAGTGCCTCAGGGAAGCGGGACGCAGACTCACTGCCCCGTGTGGAGGCGGCTCTCACCACACGGATGCGCACACACACACCTCGGGTGGCGTGTACCCACCCATCCCAGGCTCACCTTCTGGCCGCTGTGAACAAGGGGGGCAGACCCGAGAGCCCTCCCCTTCCCTCCGTCCCCTGCCCCCCCCCGCCCCGATTTCCCTTCTGCACCCACGTGTAGAATTGGCAGGTCACTTGCTAATCCTGTTTAATTTTTTTAGGAACCACAGGGTTCTTCAGTGACTGCACTAGCTTACATTCCTACCGCTGAGACTCAGGGCCCTAATTTCTCCACATTCTTCCAAATATCTACTCACCTGATTCGAGCATTTCTGCTTCTGCCATCCATGTCTCTCTCTCTTATGTAGCTTCCTGTCCCTGTTACATGTTTTCTCTCCTTTCTAGGCACGGTCTGTCTAAGTGCTGGTCCCTCTGTCCCACTGCCCCTGTTTATTCAGTCTGGAAGGACATCTGGGGACAGGGGACAGGAGGCTGGACTCCCCCAAGCGCTCACAGAGCCACCACCTCAGTCAGGACGCTCAGGCACCATCACTACAGGAAGCTCCTTCGCCACACCGGTGCGGTCACACCCAGCCCGTCCCCCAGCCCCGGAGACCTCTCCCAGGTCCTCCACTCCCGCAACTGTCATCTCAGGACTGTTTACAGGGACTCAGGCAGTCAGTGTCTCGTCGTAATTGTCTTTTACTCAGCACACCACCCAGATGTGCACCCGGGTCTCTGCCTGTATCAACAGTCCCTCCTCTTTGTTTCTGAGTAGAACTGAGTTAACATCCACATGTGGAGTCTTTCTGTTACTGACTTTTATGCTCTGACTTCACTTCCTTTACATTTGTCAAGGTCTGTTTTGTGGCCCAGGATCCACACAGTCTACTCTGGCACGCCCCCGGGCACCTGTGAACAGCGTTCACTATGTGCCTATTGGGTGGAGGGTTCCATGAATGTCCACTGATCCCTCCGATCGACAGTGTTCTATGTGCTTTCCGAATGCCCAGTTGTCCCAGCAGTGGTGAGGAGTGGGAGCTGAGGCCCCACCTGAAACTGGGGGGTTTGTCTCTCTCACTGCAGCTCTGCCAGTGTTTGCTCTGTGTAAAAGATCTGCTTGGGTTGTAAACATTTGCGATTGCTATGTACCTGCCTGCTGGGATGATCCTTTTATTGTTATACAATCGACCTGCTTTTCCCCTGGAAATTCCCCTTGCTCTGACGTCTGCCTTGGCTGACGGTCACCATTCTACCTTTTCAAAAAGAATGTTTACATGATAGATCTTTTCCCATCCTTTTTCTTTCCGCCTCCCCATGTTATCACAGTTGAAGAGAGTTTCAGCGTGTGACAGACAAGTTGGGTCACGGGTTTTATTCCTCCTGGGAATCTGTGTCTACTCACTGGTGTGTACATGCCATTCACGTCTGCAGTAACTGCTGATAATCAGTGCTCAAATGGCGCTTGTCCTCTCTCGTGCCACAGTGTGGGGTACCTGGATATCCATCAGAATTCCACTGGATGGCGTGCTGAGTGCCTCACTGTCGACGTCTGTGAGCGGCGTTCTACACAGCCCGTGTATGCATGCAGTTATCAGTCCATGGGCACCGACGTTCCGCCACGTCGTGTGGCGCAGAATCCTCCCTCCACTGCTCTCACTTCTCTCACACACACAGAGTACCCTGGTTTGCTGCGACCATCAGATGTTAAAAAACGTGCTACTTCCTTCTGGCCGCTGTGATTTCCAGCAAGAAATCTCTCATTCATACTCATGTCCCTCTGGAGGCAAAACAGCATCTCTCTCTGTTTTCACATTTTTTTCTGTCATTTGTTTTCAGAGATTTAATTACGATGTGTCTTGGTATGGGTTTTTAGAGAGCTTAGCTCTTCCCTGGTGGCGCAGATGGTAAAGAATCCGCCTCCAATGCAGGAGACTCGGGTTCCATCCCTGGGTGGGCAAGATCCCCTGGAGAAGGGAAGAGCTACCCACTCCAGTATTCTTGCCTGGAGAAGTCCATGGACAGAGAAGCCTGGGGGGTTACATCCACGGTGACAAAGAGTCGGACACGACTGAGCGACGAACACTACACTCTGGCCTACATAGGGCTTGGTCAGTCTGTTGTGTCTATGGGTTTGTCTTTCGCCAAATTCAGGAAGTTTCCGGCCGTTATTCCTTGCAGCGCTTTGCAGCCCACGTGCCCCCTCCTCTTGCTCCGGGTCTCTGGTGACTGTCCTGTGGCGGTGACACTGAGGCTGTGTGTCTCTTCTTTTTCAGTCTGTTCTCTGCTGCTTCGATTGAGCAGACTCTACTGCTTTAGCTGTGAATCTCTTGATTCTTTCCTTCATCCCCACTTTGTTATCACATCCATCCATAGTGGGCAGTGATCACCGTGTCTATTACGCTATTATGGCTACGGTATCTTCCAGTTCTGTAATTCTCATTTGGCGCTGGGTGGGGGGGTCACAGTGGGAACTTCAGTTTACTGGTGACTCTGTGGGCTGTCATCTAGGGCACGCGCTGCAAAGGCTCCTGCCAGTTCAAGGCCCCGCCGGCACCCCGCCACCGAGAACAGATGCTGAGGCAGCCATCTGTCCTCTGGCACTGGCCAAGCTACAGTCCCCATGGCCTGCCAGCAGGTCTGGGTTACAGCCCCCTCTAGCGCCTGTTCCAGGAAACTAGAGGCCAGAAGAGAAGCCCCTGGGTCACCCCACAGCTGTTCCTCCAGCGTGGTGGTCCCAGTCAGCTTGCCCCCTCCTCTCCAGCTCAGATCCTCCCCGTTGTCCGCTGAACTAGCTGCAAGGTGTTCAGTTGTAACTGGACAGGGGAGTAGCCGGGAAAGTGAGTCTGCCCCACCTCTGAAGCAGGGGATCCCAGCACCCTCACTTCAGTGCTGACGCTCTCATCTCGACCACAGCCAAGGCCTTCCCAGCAGCCTCACATGGTGTCTGCCTGGCTCCTTTCCAACCCATTCTCTGACAGCCATAGTCGTCTCCTACAAACACAAACCTCCTAGTGAAAACCCTCCTACCTCAAACCCTGCCTTGTGTCCCCCACCGGGACCCAGAGGACCCTGCTCCCCCTGGATGCCCTGGCTTCAGCCGCGGAGGGGAACGGTGTCGGGCCCCCTCCCTGCATCTGTTCCTGTGGTTGCGGAAACACTGCTATAAACCTGGCAGCTTAAACAAGAGAAATTTATCTCAACGTTCTGGAAGCCAGAAGTGCGAGGTCACAGTGCCGGAGCCTGGTTCCCCTGAGAGCCGTGAGGAAGCCTGCCCCAGGCCACCCTCCTGAGCCTGCAGACGCCCCACCTGCACATGCTTCTCCCTGTGTGCTTGTGTGTCTCCAGTTTCCCCTTTTCACGAGGACACAGTCAGATGGACTAGGGCCCACCCTAAAGATATCCTAACTTTATGAGTCTCTATGGCCCTATCGCTAAGTAACATCCCCTTTGGAGGTCCAGGGCAGGGAGGGAGGGTCAGGACTCCACTACATGAACTTTGGGGGGCACAGCACAAGTGAGCGGTCACACTCTCATCCCAGGCCTCTGTGCATGCTGTCCGCTCCACCTAGTTAACTACCCTATGCCATGTGCTCAGTCGCTCAGTGGCGTCCAACTTTCTCCCCGTGGACTGTAATCCGCCAGGCTCCTCTATCCATGGGATTCTCCAGGCAAGAATACTGGAGAGAGTTGCCATGCTCTTCTCCAGGGGATCTTCCCGACCCAGGGATGGAACCCAGGTTTCCGGCACGGCAGGTGGATTCTTTACCATCTGAGCCACCAGGGAAGTTAACTTTTATGAGAGTTAACTATTACTCACCCTTTATATACCACCACGGCCGTCACACCAGGAAGCCTTCCCAGTCTACACCAAGTTCCTTGGCCTTCATCCCTCATGCTGACTAACCTGCCACCCAGTAGACCAAGACTCGAGCCGGCAAGACCAGGCTGGCCCGACCCGGGCCTGCAGGAGACGTGAGGGTCACAGAAGCCACTCGAGGACACGAAAGGGCACGACCACCACGCCTCACCGAACACAGGTTCCCAGCAGCCAGCAGATCAGGACCCAACCCGGACCCGGACCCCGGCCAGCGTCCCGTCAGCTCCCCTAGGCCCCGCCCCCAAGGCCCCGCCACGCCCCCGGCCGTGTCCTGTCCGCGCCCGAGCTGCCAATAAAGTTGCGCTCGGAGCTGCCCGGAAAACGTGCCGTAATCCGCACCGCGGCCGTCGTAAAAGCGCCGGTCTCCCCTGGTGACGAGCAACGCGGGGAAGATGGCGGCGCTGGTAGCGCCTGAGGCCGCGGCGCCCCGGGGCCCGACAGAAGCAGGGGAGACGACCGAGGAGGCGGAGCTGAGCCGCTCTCTGAGCCGCCTGCTGCCCGGGCTGGAGGCCGACAGCAAGCTGGGCCGGCGGCGCGCTCTGGAGGCGCTGCAGCGGGCGCTGGAGGCGGCGCAGTTCCAGGCGCCTGACGCCGACCCCGACGCCGCGGCTGCGGCCTTCCAGGGCCCTTGGGTGAACCTGCTGCTGCCGCGCCTGCTGCGCCGCCTGGCTGACCCGGCCGAGGGCTGCCGCACGCTGGCCGTGCACCTGCTGGGGCTGGGCCTGCGGCGCGCCGCGCGGCCCCGCGACGCCCTCCCGCGCCTGCTGCCCGCGCTCGCCGCGCGGTTGGCCAGCCCCGAGCCCGCGCGCCGCCCGCCGCCCGAGGCCTGTGAGGAGCTGCGCCTGGCGCTCGTGCAACTGCTCGGCCTGGCCGTGCGCCTTGCCGGCGCCGCGTTCGCGCCCCACCTGGACGACGCGGTGCGCGCGCTGCGCTGCACGCTGCTCGACCCCTTCGCCGCCGTGCGCCGCGAGAGCTGCGAGTGCGCCGCCGGCCTGGCACGCGCCACTCCAGGTGCCAGCCCCCCGTCCCCTCCCCGGTGGCCCCCTCCCCGCGCCCTGCTGCAGCTGCAGCTGCAGCCCCAGCCCCGAGCGCAACGCCTGCCACATCTCCCGGTCTCAGCGCCTCTCCTGCGCTCCGGGCCTCTCCCCTGGGCCCTCGCACCCTGGGCAGCAGTGAGCCAGAGCCTGCCTTGATCTGAGGACCTGAGCGCTGAGAGAACTCGCTGGAAGTACCACTGAAATAGCAACCTCACACAGGTCTGAAGCAGCGGCAGAACTGCAGAGCTGGAGGGTCCACCTGGGTCCCACGAAGACCCCCTGGTCCTGACTTTCTGTGAGGCCCGTAGAAGCTGGGTGGCTTTGCCTGAGGCGGTGCTGGTGCGGTTTCCTGTGCTGTGCTGCATGTCTGGCTCGGCAGGACCTGGGGACATGCGGTCTCTCCCCACTCCGGGCACCTGGTCACATCCTTTGGCAGCTTCAGGCTCTCCTCTCCCAGCTGCCCTGTTCAGCTGACACGGGGTCCAGCCCCAGGCCTCTGAGAGAGGTGCTTTTTGAGTCACTCGTCCTGTCCCTGCGCCTCTCCAGTGCTGAGGGTACAAAGCTCCCAGCGGAACCAGGCCAGAGTGGAGGCCCCCAGGCTCCCCTGGTGACTGGTGGCCTCCCTACCCCACAGACCACTTCCACATGCAATCGGAGTCCCTGATCGGCCCCCTGATGCAGTCCATCTCCCACCAGCACTGGAAGGTGCGGGTGGCTGTCATCGAGGCCACGGGCACAGTGATCCAGTTCGGCAGCGGGAAGTCAGTGGATGATGTTCTTCCTCACTTTGCTCAGCGGCTCTTTGACGACGTTCCCCAGGTAAGGGGAGTTTCTCCTCCGGGCGGTCCCTTTTCTCCACCAGGAGCGTGCCAGTGTGCTATTTGTCACTCACTTTTGTCCTTTTTTAAAGATATATGTGACACCAAAATGTCCTTCCATCATTCCCAGTCACAGGGTGTTCCTATTTCACATTTTTGAGAGGCTGAGGGAGAACTGACTTGTTTTGGTGTGTTTGTTATTCTTAATTCTAAAGAATGGGGAAGAGGACTGTTTGCTTTTAGGAAGAAACTCTAAACTGAGTGTTTCCACGGTTTGTAGAAACATGTGTAACATGCCATCCATCAAGGTGATTAACTGAAAAACCTCAGAGATTGGCAAACCAGGAGGACTGGAGCCAGGGTTGGTATATTTGGGTAATTCCTTCCCCTTGGCTTTGGGGCCTGCGGAGACAGACAAACAAAAGAGGCAGGCAGGTGGAGGTGAGGGAAGCAGCTCTTTTGCCGGCAGAAGCCAGCTCGGAGTCGTGGATCTAAGGCTGTGAGGGGCAGAGTGAAGCCCGCGAGGGCAGGCTCTCTCCCAAAGGGAAGAGTGGGTGCAGGGCTCCCGCCCCTGGGGCAGGAGGAGCGGTGGTTGCTGGTGGGGCGCCTGCAGGGCGGGGGACACATGGCCCCTGTGCCCCTGGCAGAGGGACGCCAGCCTTCTTGTGTCCTGTCTGTCAGCACTTACATGCCATCGTGTTCCTTCCCACGGAGATCCTCCATGTCTGAGGCTGGGGCTGGTATGAGTGCCAGGGCCCCAGCTGGAGCTGGCCTCCTCCAGGCCTGGGTCTGTTGACCCCAGCTGGCCTCCAACCACAGCCACACTAGCTCATGTCACTGTTTTCTTCTTCTTTATAATTGAAGTGTGTACTTGATTTGCAATGTTGTGTTAACTTTGGCTGTACAGCAAAGTCATTCAGTTAACACATGCATGCATGCTGCCTTCTAGAGTCCTTTCCATTGTGGTTTCTCACAGGATATTGAATATAGTTCCTCGTGTTGTGCAAGAGGACCTTGTTGTTTACCCACGCGTGTATACTAGTTTGTATCTGCTAACTCCAAACTCCCAATCCTTCCCTCTCCACTCCCCTCCCCCTTGGCAACGGTCTGTTCTCTGTGAGTCTGTCTCTTTCATAGGAGGGTTCAGCTGTGTCATATTTTAGATTTCAAATATAAGTGGGATCATATAGTATTTGCCTTTCTCTGACTTACTTCACTTAGTATGATAATGTTTAGGTCCATCCATGTTGCAGCAAATGGCATTATTTTGGCTTTTTATGGGGAAGTAGTAAGTATTCCACTGTATATAATGTACCACATTTTCTTGATCCATTCACCTGTCCATGGATGTTTAGATTGTTTCCATGTCTTGGCTGTTGTAAACAGTGCTGCAGTGAACATTGGGTGCACGTATCTTTTGAATTGCGTTTGAGCGTCTGCCCAGGCGCTGGGCTACTGGGCCATGTGTTGGCTCTCGCTAGTTTTTAAGGGGCCTCCGCGCTGCTCTCCGTGGTGGCTGCATCAGTTTATATCCCCAACAGAGTCGGAGTCTTCCCTTCTCTCCACACCCTCTCCAGCATTTGTTCTTTGTAGACTTTTCAAAAGAAATTTTTACTATTTTTTTTTATTTTAAATTTTTTGCCGCGCTGGGTCTCTGTTTTCTCCAGCCGTGGTGAGCGGAGGCTGCTCTTCATTGCGGTGACTGGGCTTCCCACTGCAATGCCTTCGCTTGCTGTGGACCACAGGCTCCAACACGTGCGGGCTTAGTTGTCTGGCAGCCTGTGGAATCTTCCCAGACCAGGGGTCAAACCTGTGTCCCCTGCATTGGCAGGCGACTCTTAACCACTGGAATACCAGGGAAGTCCATTTGGAGACTTTTTAGTGATAGCCATTCTGACCGGTGTGAGGTGAATTGGGGTTTTGATTTTCATTTCTTCAGTAATTATTGATGTTGAATGTCTTTTCATGTGCCTGTTGGCCATCTGTATGTCTTCTTTGTAGAAATGTCTATCAAGGTCTTCTGCCATTTTTTGATTGGGTTTTTTGGTTTATTGTTCTTGAGTTGTATGAGTTGTTTCTATATTTGGGGAATTAATCCCTGTCAGTCACATCATGTAAATATTTTCTCCCAGTCTGCAGATTGTCTTTTTGTTTTGCTTATGGTTTCCTTTGCTGGGCAAAAGCCTGTGAGTTTGATTAGATCCCATTGGTTTAGTTTTGTTTTATCTCTATTATGTTGGGAGACTGACCTAAGAAAACATTGGTATGGATTGTGTCAGAGAATGTTCTGCCTATGATGTCTCCTAGGAGTTTTATGGTGTCTTACATTTAAGTCTTTAAGACGTTTTGAGTCTGTTAGTGTGTATGGTGTGAGGGTGTGTTCTAACCTCATTGATTTCCATGCAGCTGTCCAGCTTTCCCAGCACCACTTGCCCTTTCCCCCGTTGTACATTCTCGCCTCCTTTGTTGGAGATTAATTGACTGCAGTTGTGTGGGTGACTTCTGGGCTTTCTGGTCTGTTCCGCTGACCCATGTGTCTGTTTTTTGCCAGCACCATGCTCTTTTGATGACTGCAGCTTTGTAGTATTGTCTGAAGTCTGGGAGAGTTATGCTTTCAGCTTTGTTCTTTTCCCTCAGGTTTGTTTTGGCAGTTCTGGATCTTTTACGATTCCATATAAATTTTAGGATTGTTTGTTCTTGCTTTGTGAAAAATGTCATGGATAATTTGATAGGCCTCAAATGAAATCTGTAGCTTATTTTTTGGGCGGTGCGGCTGTTTTAACAGTATTCTTCAACCCAGGAGCAAGGTGGGTGTCTTTCCACTGCTTTGCGTCATCCTCGGTCTCCTTTATTAATTTTTCTCGTTCTCACTACGTAAGTCTTTCACCTCCTTGGTCAGGTTTATGCCCAAGTATTTTAACTCTTTTGGTTGCAGTTTTTAAAAAGGACTTTTCTTTTACATTCTCTTTCTGATGTTTCAGTGTTAGTGTAAAGGACTCTGTTGTTAAGCTCGCTTCCTTGCTGCAGTGGGCGTGGTGTGTACAGGCGCGCACACCACCATCTCAGACGCAGGCAGCTGATGCCCAGCCTGCCCAGGAGGTCCCCGTGCTGGAGGCTGCGAGCAGGCCACAGGGCTGAGACAGGGCCGCGGAGCCCACTGCGGCCAGCGAGGTCCGGCCTGAGCCTGGAGGGCACGGGCTCAAGCCGGCGAGACTGGGCATGCTGGCGATCTGTGCCAGGCCCAAGATGCCGACAGCACAGCTGCTGGAGCGGCGAGCTGGCCCTGGGCCCTGCGGCGCCGGCAGGGTGGGCCCAGCTGCCCAGGTCCCCGCGTGGGGGGCGCCGCTGACTGTCTCCCGCCCTCAGGTGCGCCAGGCAGTGACACGCGTGGTGGGGGGCTGGCTACTGAGCCTGCGGGACCGCTACTCCTTCTTCCACAAGCTCATCCCACTCCTGCTGAGCGGCTTCCACGACGAGATCCCTGAGATCGCGTAAGTGACAATGTGGGGCCATGGCCGGGCTCCGGCGCCCCAGTCCCGCCCGCTCTCCTCCCAGGCGCGGCCTCTCCTCTGTTGTCATTTCCTGTGGCAGCAGCTTCTCCTCTGGGCCAGAGCCCCCTGCAGCAGGCCCCTCCTGCCTACTGAGCGGCCCCAGGGCTTTGACCGGGCAGTTTTGCACCTTCAGCCCCTCACCTGGCTCACAGACAGGAATTTGTCAGGCAGAGATGGGGGCTGGCAGACCCACTGACACGTTCTCTTCGGCAGAGGCCCCTGTGGCCAGCCCCCCAGAGCGCCCCCGTCCCCGTGGGCACGCCCTGACCTGCAGCTGTGTTGTGTTGCAGGTGCGAGGCGACCAGCCTCTGGGAGCGGGTCGGCCTGCAGTGGCAGACGGAGAACGGGGAAGACCTCAAGGACAAGCTGGACTTTGCCAGCCCTCCCCCAGCCCACCACCCCTCGCCAGGTGAGTGCGGCCGGCTCGGGCTGATGAGGCAGGCGTGTCCTGGAGGTGGAGCCCGGCAGCTGGAAGAAGCCCTCGTGGTCCCAGGCCAGCCTCCCTGGGTACATGGGCACACCCGGCCGAGGAGCGTGAGGCTGCGGGGGGAGCTCTGAATGCGGGGTGCTTTGTCAACTCGCAGAGTTCTTCTGTGGGCCTCCCCTGCAGGAGAGGCGCAGGCCACAGTGGGATGCAGCCCTGGCATTTTGGGTGATGCCCCCTCAGAACAGAGGCCTCAGCTGGTGGGCCCCCGGCCTGCCCCTTGCTGTGGTTCCCGCCAGGCTGTGAGCGCCCACTCATGCGTGCGTGTGTGTGCACGCCCGTGCGCACATGGGCTCTCATGCTTCCCCTCAGCTCCTGAGTCGGATCCGAGCTGCGTTTCCAAGGAGGCCCCTGCCTACCGGGCCCCAGCCCCCCTTCTTGCTCCAGGGCCTTGCATGCATCTAGTTTCCTGTGTTGAGGAAACTCTGTCGGGGGCTGAAGTCCCCTGTGAACACGATGGGGCACCTTCATCACTGCAGGCTGTCTGCAGGTGTTTTCTTACAGTGGAGCCGTGACAGGGTGACACTGGCAGGACAGAGCCTGGTAAATGTGCGCCAGGTCAGACGGGCAGTGCCGTGGAAGGCACTGAGCCTGGGGCCTGCAGGCCCCGCCAGACCTGGTCGGGTGAAGTCAGGCCCCTCGAGGGACTGCGGGCGTGATGAGCTAGGGGACAGGTGTTGGCACCTGGCACTGTTCAGTGTGAGGCCCACGGGGAGGCTCCTCCCTGCACCTGGGAGGTCTGCGTCTTTTTTTTTGGTCTACCTATCGACTCAGGCAGCATCACCTCCCACACCACGCAGCTGCTATAAGGGGAAATCACACATGTTTTGGAAAAGGTACAAAAAATTAGTTGCTAGCGGGGACTTTTTCTGACTTACTGAAGTTTGAGGACACACCATCTTCTGAATTACCACGTCTGCCATATCATATACAGGAACAGAGGTCAGAGGGGTTGTCGGAGTGAGGCCACGTGCCCGCCTGCCAGTGGACCGCTCCCCAGACCGTCCTAATATGGCCCCTCATCCCCCAGACTTGCCCCGAGGGACCAGCATCATCAGGCTTTTTGTCTTTTGCAGAATTATAACAAGCTCACTTAAACAGCTGACAGAATCTGAATCTCTGGAGCTAAGTCTCTCGTAGACCATAGAGATAAAAAAGTAACAGGAGCAGAAATTCAAAATGGGGCTTCATGGGTCAAGCTGTTCTTCTTACCAAAACACCCTTTAAACTCTGACTTGTCACAGTCTCATTTCTATTTCTAGAGTTCTTTTTATCTTTAAGATGAAAATCTTGTAATCAAAATCCTAGAAAGCTTTTTTATAGAAATTGAGAAATTTATCCTGAAATTCACAAGGAAACACAAGGGACCTAGTGCAGCCGAAACTTTGAAGACAAACACCCAGGTTGAAAGACGAGCTCGTCTGGCTTCAAGACATAAAGACATAGAGATGTAAAGCCAGAGTGAGTGGGCGTAGAGGGGTCGGCATCAGACAGACAGGCCTGTGGGCAGAGCAGAGTCAGATACATGCACGGGTAGCCTCTGGATTCGGATGAGCTGCAGAGACAGCTCAGGAGAAAGGGCGTCGGCAGTGGAGATAGTGCCCCTGGACCTGGATCCCGTCCTCCTGTCGCACGAGGCTGAGCCCCAGCAGCCTGTGGGCTTGAGGATAGGACCCACACACTCCACAAAGGAATGACTGGTGGACTGGTTCTCATCAAAACGAAAACGTCTGCTCTTTGGAACATGCTGAGAAAATGAAACTGAAGGCGCAGGCCGAGGAGATGTTTGCAGATTGTGTGCATAGGGCTTGTTTCCAGAGCACAGAGAGAACGTGCAAACTCGGCATCGGAAACAATCCAGCTTTAGTGGGTATAAAAAGATTGAGAAGACACTTGCCTGAAGACACACAGATGTCAAGTAAGCGCCCAAGAAGATGCCCCAGGTCATGCATGGATCCCGAGGGGAGGGGAGCGCACAGTGGAGCAGCAAGGAGACACCGGGCCGCTGGGCCTGAGCCTGCCCCTCAGCTGGTGTAGACGCAGCGGAGCCACAGGTCCTGGGCGTGGCTGAGGGAGCGGCGGGGGTGGGGCGCAGAGCAGAGGGAGGGTGGCACCGCTTTGAAAATCCATCCCTATTTCTTAAACCGTTAAGTGCCTTCCTGCTGGGTGCTCCCACGGGCACTCCTGGGTGTGCCCACCCAAGAGAACTCCTGTTAGCGACAGTCTGCACCAGAGCAGCTCAGGCAACCATCAGCAAGTGGACGGACGGACAGACAAACTGTGGTCTGTCTGTGCAGTGGCGCACGCTCAGCAGTGAGAAGGCCTCATGTGCCCCACCACGCGATGGGGCTCCGCGTGCCTTTCCGCGTGGAGGGGGGCCGTGTGCTGTGCTCACAAGAGGTAGGAGAGGCAGCTCCTCCGCAGTGACCAGAAGCCGGCCGAGCTGCTTGAGGGAGGGGTGGGCGGTGGCGGGTGTCGGGAGCACAGGGAGCTTATGGGCGATGTGCGTGTGTTGTCTTGAGAGCCGTGTACCCGTTTGTTAGCACTTTGAACATGTAGTTTAACCTGTGTCACGCCTCACCATTACTGAAAACTTCCAAGTAAGTAATGACACTCTGTGGCCTCATTTTCTTCTGTCTTCAGAGTCGGGCTGAGTTCTTTAAGGCCTCAGAATATAAACCTGCAGGTCTGCCTTAAATGAGGGAAGTGTCATAAGCGACCTTCCCACACAAGTCGGTGAGGTGTGTGTGTGTGAATGTCACCATCTCCCTTCACCTTCACGACCCGCAGGGAGCCGCCCGGGGCTGGGCTGCCGAGAGCTCGTGTTCAGAAACCTCTCCAAGATCCTCCCCGCCGTCTGGCACGACATCGCTGACTGGGTGGTGGGCACCAGGGTGAAGTCAGCGCAGCTGCTGGCTGTGCTCCTGCTGCACGCGGAGGACCACATCACGCAGCACCTGGAGCCCGTGCTGCGCACCCTGCTCCGCGCCTGCGCCGACGAGGAGGCAGCTGTGGTCTATAGCGTGAGTGGCATCTGCGGGACTGAGGGGCCCCGGCCTTCCTTCTCAGCTCTGCCAGCCGTGAACTCGGACCTCAGCAGGCACACGGTCACCTCTGCATGAAGGTGTAGATGTGCCGAGGCCCCCTGCAGCCCTGGGCCTGGGAGGAGTGGCGTATGAAGGCTCTCCTTAAGTGCATGCGGACGAGTGGCCCCACATCCGTGTGAAAAAACAGCATTCACCCACAGGCCCTGCAGTGGTCAGCTTGCAAGGACCATGGGCAGGCATATGTACAGAGCAGCCCCCAGTGTCCAACTCAGGTGGCTGGGCCTCAGGATGCTCTGACAGCCCTCCCACAAGCCAGACGCGTGCCTTCCTTCCCCTGGCAGTTCTGAGCTCACGGGAGGACTCGCTTGTTCTTGTGAGCATTTGAGCAGGTGCCAGGAGGAAACGTGCCACAGGGCTGTTTCTGGGGGTGAGAGCGTGCGGGGCAGATGCCGAGCAGTGCTGGGGTGACGAGGAGGGCCAGCAGCCTCAGCCCCCCTCCCACGCCCCACCCCCAGTGCGAGAGGTCTGCAGAGCTGGTCGGCGCCTTCGTCAGCCCAGAGGTGTTTCTGAAGCTGATGCTGCCGACGCTGAGGAAGTCCCCCTCGCCCCCAGGCCTCCTGGTCCTCGCCTCCCTCATCCGAGGCTGCCCCAGGGAGGCTCTGCTGCCACACGTGAGAGTCGTCGCCGTGGAGCTGGCCCAGGCTCACATCTGCCGAGGGTCTGAAAACGTAAGTGTGCTGGGGAGAGGGTGGGGTTCGGAGAGTCAGCCCGTCTCCATGGTGCCGCAGCCCCCTGCTGCGGCCATCCACACGTAGGCAGTGACAGTCACCCGTCCTTCAGGCCCCTCGGGGGCAGCCAACCGACAAGGTAGCTGGGGTGCAGTCACCGATGTTCTGTTTGGACCCATGCACTTCCTGACCCGTCCTGCTCCATCCACCATGGTGCACAGGTCACACTGGCCACAACTCAAGTGCCCAGTATTTGTGCTCACTCATTCATGGCCCGTGGTGGCCTCCCTGGACAGCATAGGGTGGAGCACTTCCATCACCGAGGGCAGTTCTCTTCCTTGGATGGCACTGCCGTGGGTGATCCTGGGCAGAGGGCCCTCCACCCAGAAGCTGCAAGTCTGCCCACCCTCTGTCGGCCCACACACCTCTCGGACACGGTGTCTCAATGACAAGCTTGTCCTTACCGCGTCATTTGGCTTCTAGTGGGGCTTCAGCAGGCAGCCTGATTTGGCACTTGTTACTGGGAGCTGTGTTTGCTGGTTACAAATTTATTGTCTTAAATTGAGCAGTAAATCCATTACATCTGAAGCTGAAACAATCTAGGTAGTAAGACTTAGTCATTCGGAATAATTTGTAATTATTTGCTATTGATGGAAAAATAACCTTGTTTTTGTTTGGTTGTGATGATCTTAAGCCTTGGCTCTTTGCATTGGCATGTGGCGCTTCTGTCTGTCTCTGGAACAACGAGGCTCTGCCTCGCTGGGCATCTGCCCTCACTCTGCAGGCCCACGGGGAGCTGGCCCCGTACCAGCTCACGCTCACCAGGGGCGGCCATGCCCACAGAGGTGGACCAGAGCCGGTCCCAGCTACCGTGCTGGGCACATACACGTGACCTACACACAGGACCCCCGTCCTGATCTCCTGTCCTCTGTGAAACACAGCAAAGCAGATGCGTGGGAGGGGTGTTAAGGTCCCTCCCCTGGGGGCCTTCCCAGGCCCACTCCTGGGCCCGCTGCATGGCTGCTGAGGCTGGAGCCTGGGAGGCGAGCGGTGGGCTCGGCCCTCCCAAGGAGCGGCCCTGTGTTCCCGTCAGTCAGGAAGTGTCTGTTGAGTCATAGAATTTTATGTGTGTGTGTTCACTGGGCGTTACAGGAACCCCGAAGCACACAGAGCGGAGGGGAGAAGCGTGCACCCCTCGTGCCTGCCGCCCCTTCCCGGCCTCATCCTGCTGCAGCTTGACTCTGGGGGGATGCCTGGGGCGTCTGAAGCACATCCAGGGTCCCCTGCCCTTCCGGTGTGTGTCACTGAGCTGCACACGGAACCGTGACCCTCAGGCTCAGCAGGGGTTTGCTTTCCCTGCTGTGAAGGCGGACGCCCTCTCCGTGTGCGGAACCCCGGGCCCAGTCCGCCGTGGCTCCACGGCCTGGCCGGCGGGGCCTCATCTGAGTGCCGGGCGGGCGCGGGGTGGCTCACGGTGCCGCTCTCTCCTCAGCGCCTGTATGGTGAGCGCCTGCTGCAGTGCGTGCAGGCCGTGGTGTCCGTGGGCCAGGAGGACTGCCGAGGGGCCGGCGAGCCGCTCCTGGAGGTGCTGGTGACCATCCTGGCGCTGTGGGGGCCCACGGGCCTCGGCAACAAGGTGAGGGGGAGCCTCCCGCTTCGCTGCGGCCCCTGGACTGTGACTGTCTCCGTAGTCTCTGCTCTCAAACTCCAAGTGTTCATCTTGCCCAACCAAAGACAAAGGAATCTGGAACATTTGGGTGTGTCATCCTCACTACGGCCTCAGGGGGACTCAGGATTTTAGATTCCTTCCCACTGAAGTTGACTTCAGTGTCTCAGAGTAAAGATGCTGCTTAATCTTGGAGAAACAAAAGAAAGGCGGCCTCCCTGGTCATTAATAAACCTGCGTTTAAGTGAGGTTGAAAGATATAGGAGAGGAAATATTATCATATTTTCCCTATTTAGTTACAGTCCAGCTTTCAGTCACTTCCGCTCCCCTGGCTCTGTATTTAACTTTAAACCTCCTGCTGTCTAGCTCCCCGCCCCTGTAAGGACCAAGCGGAGACAGGTCTCTGGCCGCTTCTCCCTGAGCTGAGAGCTCAGCTTCTGCCCGTGGTTCTTTCTCCTCCTCTCTGCCCACATCATGTCCAGGAGGCACCCACACACTACCCTCCCTTTCCTCAGTGCCTTTCTAAACTTTCTTTTGTCTCTTTAAAATCCCCCTCTCTGGAGGGCCTGTGTCTGAGCTGGCGGTTTGTCACCATAGGGCCGTAAACATGTTAGAAAAGTCGAGTCGGTCCTCATGGAGGGTCTGCAGGCCAGACTCAAGCCCCGGGCATCGTGCAGAGTGCCGGGTGCATCCTGTTCCTCAAGCCTGAGGCAGAAGCCTGAAGCTAGGGTGGCGGGGTGTGGGGCTGGCAGGCAGCCCTGGCTCCACCGTCCAGCCAGCCCTCCCCATCTTGCCCCCAAAGCAGCAGACGTACTGCTGCCGCTGATCTGGTCAGTTACAGAGCTCAGAGAGGGCGCCTTGGACCCACCTTCGCTGACCGCAGCCTAAGTCTGTTGAGCTCAGTCCCTGAAGCTGTCTGGTCCCCTTCTCTGCAGACAGAGTCCAGCTGCCCCAGCCCTCTGCCCTGCCCTGGGTGGTGCAAAATGGGGGCAGTGGGGGGTGTTGAGCCTCCTGTAAGTGCACCTTTGTCCGTTTCATTTGTTGTACAGGCGGGAGGGCCAGGGATGTGGGAACCCCAGGTCACATGGCATGTGCCCGAGTAGCTCTCTGTCCCTCAGGTAGTGAGGGTCTCCAGTGGGTGTGTGAGTCCCACGTTCAGGTTGACTGTCTCAGCCGGTGACTTGCTCCCCCAGGTCCAGGAGACACTGGCTGAGCTGGCTGCAGTGGAGGGCATGGACAGCAGCCAGGACCTCTTCCGAGCACATGTGAGCCCCCTCCTGGAGTGGCTGGCTGCCTCGCACCAGGACTGGACCGGCCACTCCGTGGAGCTTCTGCAGCTGGTCGTGGTGCTCACCCACTCAGGTGAGCCCTGGACAGGTGCCCCGGGCTGGGTTCAGGGCACTGGCACCGTGGCGGCTCTGGCAGCCCCAGCGCAGACGGGCAGAGCTGCTCAGCACCACCCAGTCGGCCGTGCGCTGGGGCCTGGTTCTTCATTCAGTCATGATCACTATCGCCTGTGGAGATCAGCCATTTTAAAACCTTATTTTTAAAAGTGCTGAGAATGTTACAGGGAAGAATTGATGTAACATGGTCTTAAAAGCCTGCCCAGGCACACGTTTTGATGTTGAACCTTGAACGCGTGGCTCAGTGTGGTGCCGTGTGTGTGGCCGTGCTCTTCAGTGGCGTCTGCACGCTGTTCTCTCTGCCCAGCTGGCTTCCTGCCCTGCAAGTTCGGGGCTCAGGGAAGGGAGACGGGGAGGCGGGAGGGGCGGGCAGGCTTTCTCCGGCCACACTCTCTCCACTCTGGCCCTGGGCTCTGAGGCGATGTCTCTGAATAGATTGAAGTCCTGACTGAGTGCGGAATCAGCAGACCGGGCGTAAGCCAGAGGGCCTGAGGGTGGCCGTTGTCTCTTCTGACACACACGACCCAGGTCAGCGCAGGGCCTGGTGGGGAAGGCAGCTTGTGACTCGCATCCAGACCCGGAGACCCTGTCAGCCCATCACGGGCGGGCCCAGGCCCTGAGCAGCGTCATTGCATTTGGGATCCTGCCAGGCTCAGGGCCAGGGCACCACTGCTCCGTCTGGTGACAGGCATGGGAAGGTCATTGACTGCCAGGTTTGGGGCACACATCCAGCAGTTTTTATACTCTGAGTAGTTGATTTGGGTTGGTCTTTAAAAGAGTGCTTGACTTCAGTGTTTTTACGAATTTGGTGAGATGTATGAAGAAAAAGTTCACATGGTGAACAGAGCCATGGCGGAGGTGGGGGGGTGGCCCATGGCGTCCTATGCCGAGAGCATCCTGCCCGCCATGCCCCGCATGCCTCCTCTCGCGGCCAGAGCGGCTCAGGGCTCCACCTTCCCATCCTCCTGCCACGCCTGTCTTCTAGGCCCTGCCCTCGGAGAAGCCCTGCCCCAGCTGGTCCCCATCCTCAGGAGCTGCCTTCAGCCAGCCAGGGACCCAGCCATGCGCCTGAAGCTCTTCTCCACCCTGACGGGCGTGCTGCTGAAAGCCCCAGAGACGGTGGATTCACAGGGGTAGGTCGGCTCTGCCGCCACGCTGCCCCCACGCCGAGTTAGGGCTGGGCCATCCCCCACCTGCCCCGACACTGAGGTCTCGTGGGAACTGGGGTGACCCCCAAGCTCTAGGCTCTGCTGTCCTGCGGCTTCTTCGCCCACCCCCCCCCCCGACACACCGCCCCAGGGAAACAGCGCGGTGCCATCCGCAAGTGCACCACACAGACGCTGAATCAAAGCTGTGTTCGTGTGGTCATTAAAATTCCATTGAATGAAAACTTTCAGGGAACATTAACTCCTGATGGTTTATACATGACTGTGCTCAGCTCTACACGGCTTCTGGTGCCTTTCAAGCCTCACAGAGTTGATTGAATGACTGCAGAGTTCAGAGATCAGGAAACGCATATTCTTCAGAGGGACTGGAGGCAGTAAACACCGGGCCTCCAACTCGAGGCTTTGGAGGGGAGGGGAGCACGGGGCAGGACACCTGTTGGAGCAGAGCCCTTGGCAGGATGGCGGCAGGCGGCGAGATGCAGTGAGTTGTTTGGGATCTGAGAGCAGATCTCCACCGTCGGCCTGTCCTGGAGTTTCCCAGGGAAATAGCAGGTCGTCATTCAGAGCTCGCGTCTCTGGACGTTACTCAGATCTGCTGTCGGGCCTCTAGCCAGCCCATCATATTGCAGGAAGTTTCATTTCCTGCTTGTCTGCAAAGGCTTCAGGGGTTAGGAGAGGCCATAGAAGGTATGGAGTTGGCGCTGGCACCATCCCGTGAGTAGAGAACCCACAGCCTAGTTGCTGCCCCTCGGGGCCCGGGCTTCCCAAGGACAGTGAGTCCCCAGGAAAGAAGCCTCCATGCCGTACTGAACTCCCTCAAGAAACTGCACCCGGAGGCTTCTTGTGAAAAGAAAGTCGCTCAGTTTCAGCTATTTAGTGAAAGTATTAGCTGTTTTTACAGGCAGGAAAGACTTTGGGAAACAACACCTGCTTGGTTTTGAACTTTGGGATTCTAAAATCATGGCGCCTAAGACAGCAAGGGACCCCTGTCCCCACCCCAGCCCACCCCACCCTGTAAGGACCCCACAGCCAGAGGACAGCGAGCGGGGGCGCCAGGGTTAGGGCAGGAATCCCCGGGAGCTAGAGTAGAGGGCTGCTCCCTGCTCTGGGCGCCCAAGACGCCAACGGAGCCGTCCCCTCGCGCGGAGCGATCCCGTCACGTCATCCCTTGACGCGGAGCGATTCCCTCACACGGAGCGATCCCCTCACGTCAGCCCCTGACGCGGCGCGATCCCCTCATGTCCCCTCGCGCGGAGCTGTCCCCTCACGCGGATGTTATGGAACTCCTCTCCCGTGGAGCGAGACTGGGTGCTGGTGGTTCTGGGAGAGGCTGTGGGCCCCCCGGCTGGGCTTTCTTATCTCGGGACCCAGCTTCGGATGCGTGTGCGTTCTCCGCGCGCAGTGGGACTCATCCTTTGGGAATCTGCCGTGTTTTGTGCCCCCGGCACCTCACTGGAGTCAGAAGCAGCTCAGGGGGCCGCTGCCTGTCCCTGGTGGCCAGCACTCAGCCCCAGGCCTTTGTTGCCACGTCGTGTGGGCCACCTCAGCTGGGACGCGAGACTGACCTCTCCAGAGACCCCCGGCGGATCACTTTTCAGGAAACAGCGGCTCTTTGCTAAAAATCAAGCGGGTTGAAAACCTGGGAGGCCCGTGAGTCCCCCTGCGCCAGGTTCGAGGTCGGCGGCTGCGGTGGCTCTGGAGCGCCCCCTGCTGGAGGTCCTGGGGCCCTGGCGCTGGTCAGACCGACGCGGCTCCTGGAGGCAGGGCCGCCTGGGCAGCCTGCTCCGGAACGACCTCGGGACACAATCGATGGGCCATGTGTTCAGCAGGATAGGTTTTGCGCCACCAGCAGAGGCCTGCGGGGCAGGCGAGTTGTAAGAAGAGCCAAGGCTTTCCCCTGGCTTTGGATGGGGCCTCAGCTGTGGCTCCAAGGTGTAGGGTGGCCAGGCCCGGCAGTGGGGCTCGGGGCTGGGATCCTGGTTTCGTTTTGCTTTGGGTTTGTCCTGACGGCGTGTTGAGAGGAAGGGCCCAAACCGCGTTGGCGGGAATGTCCACGTCTCCTGGTGTCCTGGCACGTCGGGCCGTGGGCACAGCCCCAAGCTGCCCTCCTGTTGAGGACGGGGGTGTGGTCAGAGGGACTCCACATCGTCTCAGGGCCGCGAGGCCTGCCTCTGAGGTCACTGCCCTTGGAGTGGCTTGCCACCCCAGGGATACTCTGGGAGCGGTGGTGGGCAAGGCAGCCCCTTGGCCGCAAAGCGGGGGGGAGGCCGGAATGTACAGCAGCCCTGGGGTCCAGTCCCGGGAGAGGCAGCCGGGGCCCCCGCGCAGCCGTGGGAGAGCCCACGCCCCTCTGAGCCCCTGTCCGTGAGAGGCAGGGCTCTTGCTCGGCGTCCAGTGTTTCTGCTGTTTCCTCTGGTCTTTTCCCTCAGCGCCGTCCGCTTCCCAGACAGAAGCGCTGCCTTCAGGGAGTCTGAGTGCCTCTCCCCCGCTCTCTCCTTCTACTCCAGGCATCTCCGCAGCTACCTGGACACCCTGGTCCAGGACATCTTGGTCCCCAACCTGCAGTGGCATGCCGGCAGGACGGCCGCAGCCATCCGCACGGCGGCCGTGTCCTGCCTCTGGGCGCTTGTCAGCAGCGGGGTCCTATCGGATGGGCAGGTACGGCTCATGCGTCCCAGGCCCCAGAGGGAGGGGGATGTGCCCTGGAAGAGCGCTCGCTCGCCTGAGTCTCCTGTCCTGACAGCCGCAGCAGGTGCTCCCAGGCAGACCGAGGTCCGGACCGTGGGGCTTGAGGGCAAGCAGAGGTCTGGGGGAGAGTCTGGGTTTCCCTGGGTCGCCTGGGGGTTTTCTCAGGTGATTGTTACCATTTATGAGAAAAGAACTTCATCAAGGAGTCTAACTTGAGTGTTGTTTGTATTCGCATCTCATTTAGAGGGGGAACTGAGGAAATAGTAAAAGTAGGGAAAACAGTGTGATGCCTGAACGGCTGTTACTTAAGTTAAAATGTCCCCCTGGGGACTTCCCTGGTGGTCCAGTGGCTAAGACTCCAAGCTCCCAATGCAGGGGCCTGGGTTTGATCACTGGTGGGAGAACTAGATCCCACGTGCCGCAACTAAGAATCGCATCCCACAGCTGAAGATCCTGCATGCTGCAGCTAACACAGCCAAATTAATTTGTAACAACGTTTACAGAAACGTCCCCTAAACTTTACTGGACAGGATACCCGGTTCTGCTAGCAAGTAGTGGGCTGTGTAGGATCCATGCCTAAGACTTTCTGAATAACAGATTTTTTAAGGATCAGCTGACCAGTGTTCAAATTATCTGGATTTAAAATCAAGACTCAAGTCTGCTTCTCACATAGAAATTTCAGAACAGTGTTCCAGACTCTGTGATGGTTGCATTAAAACGAAGTCTTTCCCATTACAGGCGATGCACACGGTGTGTGCATAGCAGTCTCTGTCCAGCCATGACCCACAGCTCACGTGGTTTCTTATTGCAGGTACAGGACATGCAGGAGACATTGATGCCTCAAATTCTGACCACCCTGGAAGAAGATTCTCAGATGACTCGATTGATTTCGTGCCGGATCATTAACTTGTTTTTAAAGACCTCTAATGGTGTGATTGATCCAGACAAATTCATCAAGATTTATTCTGGTAGGACATGCTTCTTTCCCCAGTCATGTGTGTGTGTGTGTGTGTTTGACAGCTGTTTCTGTCAGAAGAAGAACAGGAAATGCTACTTTTGACTTCTGGTCAGGTTAGTGCTGAGTCTAAACATGGCTGTGGTGGGTTTGACATCACTGAGTAAGTAACGTAACAGGAGAAACAGGACAGGCACCTTGTGGACCAGAATTGGGGGGTGGGTGCTCAGACGCCCACAGGAGCCGGGGGCCACCTTGCCACAGGCAGGGTCTGCACCCTGGGAGTGAGGGCCCCTGTCTCACGTGCCCTGTGTCAACGCCTCCTGGAGCCTGAGCACCAGCGAGTCCCAGACACACAAGTGCAGCGCGGCCCGAGCAGAGCAGTTTGTTGGGGGCGGGCCTGCTGCTGAGGACCTCGGGGCTCATGGGCGCACCCTCGCTGGAGGGAGTTACAGGCCCTGTGTGCCATCTTCTCTGAGTGAGGTCATGAGCCACAAAAGGCTGCAAGGATAACAGCCTTCAAAACAAGTTGAGCGCTTCCGGCTGCAGGCTCTGTGGAAAGGGTGCTGGACGCCACCATATCTGGCCTGCAGGTGCCAGGAGGCAGGCGAGGAGGACAGGCATTCCCGCAGAAAGAGGAGTCTGCTGTCCCTGTGCCCAGGGCCATGATAATCCTGAATCCACTGCCGTGTGACCATCTGATTCCCTGCCAACAGCTCAGAGCCAATGTTGTCTTGGAACCTGCTGCACATTTCAGAATGAACTTTCATAGAAAGTGAAAAAAACAAGTTGAGAAAAATGCAAATGGGAGCACAGAAACCCTGGGAGAACCTGGGGGGGCGGTGCTAAGTCTCTAGAAGACACCAGTCGTGGGGCAGGCATCTCGTGTGGGCTCTGAGGGAAAAGCACCTGTTGATAAGAGTCTCTCCCATTCATGGGAAGCGTTCCTGCCCCTCGGGAAGAACTGTTCCCCCAGGACGTTTGGTCCTGGAGGCTCAATAGAAACAGCCGACGTGGCTGGTGGCCATCATGTCAGCAGCCCTCCCCTCCATCCTCAGAGCCACTGTGGGCAGAGAATAGGGTCAGCACACGCCCTTCCTGCCGTCTACGTGGTGGGGAAAATGGGGTGGCTAGGGCATAACGCCTGTGAATGACTCTTGAGCCTGAGCATCTTGGAGCTGGGGGAACCCCAAGGCCACCCTACTGTTCAGAGAGTGCAGACTCCCAGGCAGGCCAGTCATGCCTCCACTAGGTGTCCATGGAGTCCACCCCTGGGCCAGAGCAGCCAAGGGTCCCAGGACACCCCTTCCCTAGCAGCCACTTATTGGTTTCCCGGGACGGGTGCTGGGAGCTTAGCCTGCCCCGAAACCTCTGCTCATACTCCTGCCCCGCCCCTGCCCCCAGAACTCTTAAAGCGCCTGGACGACATTTCCAACGACGTGAGGCTGGCAGCAATCTCCGCCCTGGTCACCTGGCTGCAGCGCGTCCAGAGGGAGGCCTCGAAGTGCTGCTATGAGAGCAGCATCCGGCACCTGTACCGCGAGCTCCTCGTGTACCTTGATGACCCGGAACACACCGTCCAGGACGCGGTTCTCGGTAAGAGCCTTGTCCCCATGTGGGCTGGCCACACGGGGGCCACTGGCTGGCACTGCGGCTCTCAAGGTAACAAGAGGCGACTTGTTCGGGGCAACTTGGAAACTGCTCACAGTGGCACCAGTTGTGAACGGACGGGTGGTCTCGCCTGATGGGTGGTCTCGCTTTGTACCAGGAGCCAGCACATGTGCTCAAGGGGGTTCCTGCAGACCCCACACCATGAGCAGGGGTGCAGAGACCGCCTCACACACATGAGCTCAGCCATGGCCAACACCCCCGCCTGGCAGTGCACGTGTTCCAGTCAGCAAACCTGCAGGGACATGTCAGCCGCCCTGAGTCTGGTTTACTTTGGGGTCGCTGGGTGCCGTGTGTCTGTCGGTCTGGACGTGCCTCCCACCTGGCAGTGTCGCTCCTAGTCCCTGAAAGCCCTGGCGCTTCCCCACTCATCTGTCTCCCTGTCCCTCCTAGACTTCAGCAGCCACTCAGCTTCGCTGCCTCTGTAGTTTGCATTTTCCAGAACATCATATTCTTGAAATCATGTGGTATGAAGCCTTTTCATGTTGACTTCTTTCACTTGGTAATAGGCACTTGAGGCTCCTTTTCATGGTGTAAGGGCTCATTTTTTAGCACTAATATCTCGTCTGAGCGAACCAGTTTATTTATACCTTCACTGATCACTTTACACAGGCATCTTCATTGTTTCCAGATTGTGATGATAATGTACAAAGCTTCTCTAAACATCTGTGTGCAGGATTTTTGCAAATGTAAGTTTTCAGCTCCTTTGGATAAATGTCAAAGATTGTGATTGCTGGCTCATATGGTAAGAGTATGGTTTGAAAGTGAAAAGTAAAAGTCATTCAGTTTTGTCTGACTCTGCGACACCATGGACTGTATAGTCAGTGGACTTTTCCAGGCCAGAATACTGGAGTGGGTAGCCGTTCCCATCTCCAGGGGATCTTCCCAATCCAGGGATAGAACCCAAGTCTCCCGCACTGCAGGCGGATGCTTTACCAGCTGAGCCACCAGGGAAGCCAAGAATACTGGAGCGGGGAGCCTGTCCCTTCTCCAGCGGAGCGTCCCGACCCAGGGATCAAACCGGGGCCTCCTGCACTGCAGGTGATTCTTTACCAACTGAGCTACCAGGGAAGCCCGAGAATACTGGAGCGGGTGGCCTGTCCCTTCTCCAGCGGAGCATCCTGACCCAGGGATCAAACCGGGGTCTCCTGCACTGCAGGCAGATTCTTTACCAACTGAGCTACCAGGGAAGCCCGAGAATACTGGAGCGGGTGGCCTGTCCCTTCTCCAGCGGAGCATCCTGACCCAGGGATCAAACCGGGGTCTCCTGCACTGCAGGCAGATTCTTTACCAACTGAGCTACCAGGGAAGCCCGAGAGTATGTTTAATTTTTAAGAAATCGCCAAAGTGGCTGCACCCTTTTGCAGTGCCACCAGCAAGGTGAGAGTCTCTGTTGTTCCACACTCTGCCAGCAGGTGGCCTACTGACTCTGGCCATTCTGACAGGTGTCTGCGATTGCTCCTTATTTTAATTTGCATCTCCCTGGTGACACCATGTGGAGCATCTTCTCACATGCTTACATCTATATCTCTTCTTTGGTGAAGTGTCTGTTAAGATCTTTGTCGCATTTTTTAATTGGGTTGTTTTTTAGACTTTATTATACTGTGTACATATCAATCCCAATCTCCCAATTTATCCCTCCCCCACTTCCCTTCTAGTAACCATACTCTGTTTCTGTTTTGTAAATAAGTTCATTTGTATAATTTTTTTTTAGATTTCACATGTAAGCAATATCATATATCTTTCTCTGTCTGACTGATTTAATATTACAGTCCCTAGGTCCATCCATGTCACTGCATATGGCACTATTTCATTCTTTTTATGGCTGAATAATATTCTGTTGTGTGTGCATGCACCCGTGTCTGTTTATCACATTTTCTTTATCCGCTCATCTCTTCATGGACATTTAGATTGTTTCTGTGTCTTGGCTATTGTTTATAGTCCTGCTGTGAACATTGGGTTGCATGTACCTTTTCAAATTAGTTTTTTCCTGATACACACCCAGTAGCAGCATTGCTGGATTAAATTGTAGTTCTACTTTCAGGTTTCTGAGGAATCTCCATATTGGTCTCCATAATGCTTGTACCAGTTTACATTCCCACCAACAGTATAGTGGGCTTCCCAGGTAGCACAAGTGGTAAAGAATCCGCCTGCCAATGCAGAAGATGCGGGTTCAATCCCTAAGTCAGGAAGATCCCCTAGAGGAGGAAATGGCAACCCACTCCAGTATTCTTGCCTGGAGAATCCCATGGACAGAGGAGCCTGGTGGGCTACAGTCCATGGGGTCGCAGAGAGTCGGAGATGACTGAGCACATGCACAACAGTATAGGAGGGTTCCCTTTTTTCCACACCCTCTCCAGCATTTATTGTTTGCAGACTTTTTAATGATGGCCATTTGACCAGTATGATGTGGTACCTCATTGTAGTTTTGATTTGTGTTTCTCTGATAAGCAGCGATGTTCAGCATTTTTTCATGTGCTTCTTGGTGAGAAATGTCTATTAGAACGTCTGCCCACATTTGATTGGGTTATTTCATTGTTTTGCAGTTGAGTTGTATGAGTTGTTTATATATACATTTTGGAAATTAGTCCCTTGTTGGCTGCATCATTTGTGAATAAGATGTATTTCCATTTTCATTTAGTTAAAAATATGTTTTCTCTTGAGACTTCTTTGACCGCTGTGGTGTTCAGAGATGTGTGTGTGAGCTCCAGCTATTTGGGAGTTTTCCAGTTATCCCTTTGTTAGTGACTTCAGTTTTTACTTCAGTAATTCCACTGTGGTCTGAGAGCAGAGGTTATAGTGAAGGTGTGTCTATAGCCCTGATTGTGGTCTGTTTTCGTACATGTTCCATAGGAGCTGAGAGTTATGTATATTCTGCTGGTGTTGGATGAGACGGTCTATAGAGATTCAGTTGATCGCTGGTGCTCTTGGATTCTGCTTTACCCGACTGCCTGCTGGATCTTCCCATTTCTGAGAGGAGTGTGTGGGAGTCTCCTGCACAATAGTGGGTTCATCTACTTCTCCTCACAGCTGTCATTTTGCCTCGCCTAGTGTGACACTCTGTTACGGGGCTCATACATAAAGATCGTTATGTCTTCTTGAGAACTGACATAATCATTATGCGACACCCTCCTTACCCCTGATCACTTCCCTTGCCCAGCAGCCTGCTCTTTATGGCTGTTGTAACTTTATTTTTTTGTTGTTGTTGTAACTTTAATATGAAGCTAAGGTGGACTTAGTATTTATTTCTGGCATAATAAAAGTGTTTTCCTGTTTTGCAGAGGCCCTCAAAGCAGGCAGTGTCCTCTTCCCCGACCTCCTGGTGAAAGAGACGGAGGCCGCCCTCCACAAGCACCGCTCGCCCACCCACTGCGAGCAGCTCCTGCAGCACCTGCAGGCCCTACTGCCTGCCCAGTGACCAGAGTCCTGGGAGCAGAGCCTCAGCACAGCAGCTGGAGGGGAGCAGACACGCAGCCCTCGTCCTCACCAGGGCTGGGCCTCGTGGCCTCCGAGTCTCGTCACAGGGCACCTGTCAGCCAGCAGCGGAGGACCCTCCCAAGCAAGCCTTGACAGCAAGATGAATGTATTCCCTGAGCTCCCTGCCCAGCGTCTCCTGGGACAGTTTTTCACATCCAGCAGCTTTTGAAATAACTTTCTCTGAGTGGCTTCTGTATTTTTATGTCTTACTCATACAATTCATTAAGAGGTCTGCCAGAAATCGACAGCTAACTTCAAACTAAATGTCAGCTCCTCATACTGGAGCCTAATCCATGCACTGTGTGTTTTTAGGCTACATGCACTACTAGGTTCATGGATTATTGGTTCTTTCTTGCTTAAATGCCCACCAAGAAAGTTCTTGAGTGTATATAAAGAAAAAAGCCAAAGTGATTAAAAAGAAGTGTTGTTAAAATAAAAAAAGAAGAAATGTTTCTTCTTTGGGTTCTGTCTAGTGAAACTTTATATCTCAGTGAAGAAACTGAAAAGAATTTGAAATTTTAAGAACTATTATCAACAAAATCTTCCCCTTTTAAAATGTTATGTGGGTTGTATTTGGTCACAGTATTTTCTCTTAGATCAGTAATGCTTACAGTGTTGAAAATAGGATATTTAATCAAATATAATTTTGGTTGCTCTTGTACGTAGCAGTACAGTAAAACTGTTATCTTTTCCTGCATTTTCTATCCCCAAGTGCCTAAAGGATTTCATTTTAAGCATTATTTCCATAAGCCAAATATTTATGTTAACACAAGAAAATGCTCTATTTTTTCCAAAAATCAAATATTAACATTTATGCTTTGGTATTTGAAAATATAATAAAATATTTATTATAATTATTCTCTACGCCTGTCTTTGTGTGTTTCGGTAACTGAAATTGAGATTCAGTTCTTCCTCAGATTTAACCTCACAGTGATCCCAGCCTTAAGAATCCTGGGCCTTTGGACTGAGAGGTTCTCACAGCTCATTGAGGTACCCTCTGTGGACACCAGGTGGCAGGCGCTCCAAACAAGTTAAGACAAGGGCGTCAGCAAGACTTCCGAGGGCTCACGCTCCAGTGGGGTCCGCCTGCAGAAGGGCTGAGCACCAAGCCTGCAGCACAGGCCCGGCTTGCTGCACCCAGGCAGAGCGACTCCTGGCCGCGGTGACACCCCTCTGTGCCCACCCAGGCTCTGAGGGTGCGCTCCTCTCCAAACCCCATTAGGGTTGGTGGCTCCAGGGATGGCGGTACCCTCAGATGGCCTTCCCCCAGCTCCGTGGTTGCCCTCTGGTGCCTCTGGGCGTCCTTCCTCAGCACCACCTGGAACCTGTCAGAGATGCGTGTTATCTGGCCTCGGTCCAGACCTACCGAATCAGAGACAACGTGCCGGGGACTCCTGCCCCGAGAGCATGCGTTTTCACATCCAGCAAGAAGCCCCATCTTCTGCCTCTAGTCAGTCGGTGTCACAGGAGCCAAAAATAAACAGCAGAGAGCTTGGCTAGGAGGACAACACATGCCCGACCCCTTACCTCCCACACGGCCGGGGCTGGGTGCCCCCCACTGCTGTCCGGCCTGGCTGCCATCGCGGCATTAGCAGTGTGCATGTGCTTCTCTGCATCATTCAGGGAACTGCGGAGGCAACATGGCAGTGAATCAGGACACCCAACACAATCTTAGCCTATAAAGGGGTAGTAATCTTTTTTTTTTTACCACACCCCATGGCTTGTGGGACCTTAGTTCCCTAACCAGGGATTGAACCTGGGCCCTCTGCAGTGACCATGCCAAGTCTTAACTACTAGAGCACCAGGAAATTCCCAGAAGTCTAATTTTTCAATTTTTTTTTTTATGGATTTTGCCGTGATGCTGTATCTAGGAAATTTTTGCTCAACCCAAGGTTTTACTTCCTGAATTTAAGAAGCTCAAAAGGTTATTTTCTTAAAGGTAATTTATCTATTTGCCTCAACCCATGCTGTGGTTCAAAAACAAGTTTTATTTCCTTTTAAAGTCTCCTTTCCAGAACCTACATGAAAATAAGACATCCTTCTAGGGCTGAGTTGGTTGGCTGAAGATTAAACACTTACCTTTTAGTAGCCAGAGATAGCCGGATATGTGCCAGTATGGAATTAAACTTCTAAAATAAATTGTAACAATCAAGGAACACTACACTGTGTATGGAATGCACCATATGTAGGGACTTCCCTGGTGGCCCAGTGGCCAAGACTCCGCACTCCCAATGCAGAGAGCCCGGGTTCAATTTCTGGTCAGGGAACTAGATCCCACATGCTGCAACCAAGAGATCACACGCCACACCTAAATGTCCCATGTGCTGCAATGAATATCAGAGATCTTGGAGCCACAGCTAAGATCTGGGCCAGCCAGATAAGTATTTTTTTAAAAAAACAAATGCACCATACATGAAAGGAGAGAAGGAACTGCCTATATGTGCTTTATGTGCAGAAGACATTTCTAGGTTACAAAGAAATTGGTAAGGTGTCATCTTACCATTTGATGACATCAAATTGGTGTCATCTGAGGAGGGCACCTGTAGGGCTGAGGGACTGGAGTGGAAGGTGGGTCTGTGCCTTTTGATACCTTTTCATTTACTTTTCTTATGCACGTGTTCATTAGTTGAAAGCACATCTCAGCTGACACTTAACTGCCAAATCAGTAATCCAAATTGACTGTGGGTGATGATCTTGGCTCCTGTCAGCACACGTCCAGGGAAGGACATTCAGGATGAAGCAAAATGTTTACCAAAAACTTGTCTCATTGAGAAATGAAAACGCAAAGACTTGTACCCAAGTGTTCATAGCTGCTTTATTCCAGCCCAACTGGAAATCACCCAAATGTCCATTGATGTTGTGAATGGATGAACTGTAGTATGTCCACACAACAGAAGACAGCGATCAAAGGGCACCGAGCACTGCCAGGCGGGTGGTGCACTCAGACCCTAGTCTGCAGCCAGCCAGGTGTGAAGAGTGCCTCTTTTGCTGGATTTCTAGAACAGGCAAAGCCATTCAACGTTTCTCTCTTAACCACTGAATCAGTGACGGATGTTTAGGTACCTGTTCCTGTCTGCTCTACTGGTGTGTGTGTGTATCTTGTGTGAATTTTTTCATAACTGAAAGTATCAAAACTTTAGAAACAATCATTGGTTGATTTTGGAAGTCAAAAGCTAAGATTAAGTGCTCTCAGAGGCTGCCTCCTCCAGGCAGGAACAGCAAGTATGGTGTTGCGTTACCAAAGGCTTGCCTCTCCACTACCAGTTACCTTACAACCAGCCTGGAAAATTAAATCCTCTCTAAAGATAAATCTTTCTTCCTGATTTTTCCCCATTTTCCAGGACTCTAAACAGTCGATGATGTCTAGACACCCAGGCACTGCCTGTGTGAAGCAGACAAGAGGAGCAATTACTGGGTGGTACTTAGGGTGACCGGCTTTGGATACACTTTTCTTTGTTTTCCAGACTTGAGTCATTTATACTGTTAATGACAGGGCTGTGGTACATGACAATTGGTGTCTCAGCCAGGGACTGTAGCCTCCATTCAAGCATCGCCCTCTCAGCCCTTCTCCTTTGGCCCTGAACCCTCAATGCTGTAAGTTGCTTTTCTATGACTCTTCCCATAAGCAAATGATGGCTTCAGAAGCTGGCTGGGACACAGGTCTGGAACCGGTCCCAAACGCAAAAGCACCTGCTCCTTTGTTCTTAAGAGTTTTCTCAATGTCTTAGTATAATTTGAAGAGGCAACCAGTGCCCTGGTTGGCTGACAACACATGGTTAACTACAGACAAGAGAGTCCATTTAGAAGTCTAGGTGCTCTCTTCCTGCCTAACTGATGGCGCTTCTATCCTCTAGGATTACATTAGTTCCTTTATATTTCTATTCTTGAAAAACTGAGTTGACAGTTTTGGCTAAGATTGAGAGTGAACAAAAGTGGTGAAACTGGCAAATGTAAAAATGGGGACAACAGTGGCCTTTTAAACTACTGTAGGGGGACCGGGTTTGGGGCAGAACACTGGCCCTTTTCCAGCCTCCCAGTGACAGGCGTTTGAGTTGAGGTCTTCATCCTCCGGATCAACGGTCTGAGGCCCTGTGTGCCTGGGGTTTCACAAGCACACACACATCGGTCTCGCTGCTCGCCCGGCTCCAGTTGGCCAAGGCTGCGGCGGGCAAACCCAACGGAAACGACCCTCCTGGTGGCGTTGGTCTTCGTGTGTGATGACACCTTTAGCAACTAACGCTTCTCATGGCCTCGCATGGAAGTGCTTTAGCCTGTACCTCTTCCCGTGATTAACGAGATAGAATTAACCTTTCAGAAACTACTGTGAATTTTTCACATGGCTTGAAATCCTTGATGACATTTAATGGCGAAACCAAAATTAGGAATTTCGCTTTGGTGTATAAAATCCCTACAGGACAACCGTATCGCCCAACAACTCAACGACAAGGTTTCTCCAGCCGCTCCGTCTTAGCCCAGAGGTCCCGGCGGCCGGCCTCCGGCTCCGGGGCGCGCAGCAGCTGTGCGCAGTGCCCAGCTGCGGAAGCTGACGAGCTTCGGACCCGCGATCCCGGTCCTCACGAGGGGTGCGCGGCCACCCCTCCTGTCCGTCTGCAGCTCCGCGTCAGGCAAGTGCGCTCCGCCGCCTGAAAAAGAAGTGCGACCAACACCGCGGCCGCATCCGCGCCGGCGGGTGGCCGCACTCCCCCGGGCTCGCGCGACCTCCACGTCTGCGCCCGTCCCTGCCGCACCGAATGCCCCCGCGACCGCGCGACGCAGACAACCCAAGCCCAGACAGCGGTTCTCCCAGCGGCCCTTGCGGCGAGGGCGCGGCCACGTGACCAGGACTCGGCCAATCGGGGGCGCCAGCGGCGCAGAGGCGCCTACGACATTGCGCTCCGGCGGCAGCTGGGCCCCTGATTGGCCGTATCTGGGTCACGTGACCTCTGCCGCACCCCCACCCCCCTCCAGCCCGGACCCTGCAGATTAGCGGCGCACCGCGCTGACGTCTACTGTGTTGAGTGGCCGGTCTTCCAGTCAGGGCGGGTTGATGTTGCTTTCTTGTGGAGAAATGGAGCCTGAAACCTCGGCAAACTGCACTTGCGGTCCAACCACGTCTTTTCGGTTGAGTCGCTGCAACCTGTTTAGCTTAAGCCGGTGTGAGCTGCACGTTTTGATACTTGCTCGATAAAACGTCAGATTGAAACAAATACTACCAGAACGACCTGGAAAAAAATTCATTTTTCATGTCCTAGGTTTGTGACTCACTAAGAACGTCTTCGAGCCGACAGGAACTGTACTCCCATTCCTCCGACTGGGCTCCCCCGCACCGTCCTCCAGGCCCCAGAGATTTGGGAGAGGACAGGGGCGGGGGTGCTGCTCACAGATACCTTTGTCAGTTGGCAGGTATCCCTTTCTGGTGACGCTCTGAGACCCAGCCATTGCCCCTCCGAGTACAAACTCTGTACCTCAAACACAACTGGGGGTCCTGACAGGGGCCCAGAGGGGCGCAGTCCGTGAAGAGCCCACCGCACCTGTTAGCAACATCCTTCCTGAAGGGAAGAATAGGGCGGGAGAAGTGGGCGAGACAGGAGTGCCCTTCCTTCTCACCACACCCTCTTTCCTTCCTTCGGGCCTAGGGTAGAGAGCGCTGCAAGTCCACCCACACACATACCTGGGCTTCTTGAAGAAGTGACTGATTCCAGGGCTAGGTCAGGGAAAGTCCAAGGTGAACCTGGAAAGTCCTGCATTGCCAGAAAGTAAGGAATGGCTCCAAAAAGGATGGGGACTCGAGCCAACCTGAAGGTTCTCCTAGTGACCAAAGCTGGAACTATGTGCCTGGCAAAGTTAATAACAAAACTGTTGGGTTGTGAGTTACAGAATAATGTAAATATCCACGAGTCCCTAGTGATATAAAAAAATAAGTAGAGAATTCCCTGGTGGGTCAGTGGCTAGAACTCCACACTCTCACTGCAGAGGGCCTGGGTTCAATCCCTGGTTGGGGAACTAAGATCCCACAAGCCATGTGGTGCGGCCAAAAAGAAAAAAGAATAAGTGAGGGAGGAAGGACAGGCCTTCTGTACAAAGATATTCCAATAGATATAGTAGGAATAAGAGAAATAGAAAATCAACATTAGGCAAACACCTCAGTAATACTTGTCCCAAACAAGATCTACTGATGATTTCTAAGATTAGTGGCCAAAAGTTTTGAGACAGCTTATTACTCAAATATCTCCCCCAAGATATTTTTTAATTACTAAGGGATTAATAGTAACTTCATGGTGGAGAAACTTGACCAAAATACCTTAACCAAGTGATGAAGGTATAAGAGATAACATTGTTGACACTGAGAAATGAGACAGAGTACATGGAAACTCCATACCATTTTTACAAAATACAAGGGAGTGAAGATAAATTCACTGCTCTCATGGGCAAGGTGAGCAAGGGACCTTCAGAACTGGGGCTAACCCTTGTGTCTCAGAGCGGCTGGGGTGGATGGGCTTATGTGGAATCTCTGCTGCCCAGCCTGTCTCTACTGTCTTGGCAGTTATGGATGCCATGAACAGGGACAAACTTGGCAATTCTGAGGAACAGCAAGGAGGCAGGACAGGAGCTTACAGATGAGTGAGAGGAGGACAGTAAGAGGTGAGATCAGACATACAGCATGGGTCAGACCATCAGGACCACAGCAGGTGAGGGTAGAGAACATATTCTCCCCTACCCCTTCATGTCTCTTCCCACGTCCTTTTTTTTTTTTTTTTTTTTGTAGAAAACAATTTTAATGATTACCAGAGGGGAAGGGAGGGAGGGATAAATTGGGAGATTGGGATTGACAGACAAACATTATATATAAAATAAATAAACAACAAGGACCTGCTGTATAGCACATGGAACTCTACTCAATACTCTGTAATGACCTATATGGGGAAAGAATCTAAAAAAAAAGAATAGATATATCTATGCTGTTGTTCAGTCAAGCTAAGTCACGCCCAGCTCTTTGTGATCCCATGGGCTGCAGCACACCAGGCTCCCCTGTCCTCCACTATATATGTATATGTATAACTGATTCACTTTGCTGTACATCTGGAACTAGCACTATATTGTAAATCAACTATAGGCCAATAAATTTTTTGTAAAAGACAAGAAAAAGTAAAACCATGAAGTGGATGCAAAAAGGTCAAAGGAAATGTCTTGGAGACCTCAGGGAGAAGACTGACCCTCTTGTATGATCATACAAGACATGATCATACTGATCATGATCATCAGAAGACTGATCATACAAGATCCCCAATTTACCAACAACAGGGCAAAGTAGGATGGATAAGACCACGTAAAAACTCTATATGTGACTCTGTGAATGCGTCTCAGTCAAAGTTAGCATTCCCACGTCCTTTTTATTATAATTCTGTTATTCTTGTATGTTTGCCCCGAGTACCTGTGTGGCATTAAACAATACCCAATCCTTAGACCTCTGTATCTTGTCCCACAAGCTTTGGATGGCATGGTGTTCTTTCCCCCCAACGGAAGAAAGGGGTCCTGTCCTTTCCTCTGCCTCTCCCACTTCCACCCACCTTCCATCACCCAAACTTTTGCTTGAGTATTGTCAAGATTAGTCTTTACAGTTTGAGTGGGTTGAAAATGCTTTTTCATGCTTTGCTTGTAGATTGTAGAAGCTCCCAAAGCCTGTCTTTTCCCCTGGAGTTGTCTGTCTCCGAGCCCCAGTCTCTGTCCAGACCTGCTGCCTGGCTGTCACTGCGGACGTCACATGTGGCCCACCAGTCCCTCGCTTTCTCTGTACTTGGTTCAAGCTTCATACGCTGAAGTACATTTTAAGCATGTCCTCAGAAGGGGATGTCTTTATGTATCTAAAAAGGCTTTTAATTTGCACTCATAACTTGGCATCGGTTTCTAGATCCCAAATTTTTCCTCAGCATTTTGAAGGCCCAGCTCTGTCATTATCTCACAGTTGACAGTTTGATAGTCATCCCTTTGGAGGAGTCACGAGTTTCATCTTCAGATGCTTCTGAAACCTCTATCCCTAATACTCTGACATTTCACAAGAACAGGTCTAAATGGGGATCTTTTAGTTCATTCACCCTTCTCTGTGCTCAAGGGGACCTTCCATTTTCTACAATTTTTTGTTTATATTTAAGAACTTTCCATTTACTCTATTCTCTTCTTCTGGAACTTCTGTGTACGTGAAGTTAAATATCCTGGACACATCCTCCACAACGCCATCATTTCTTAACTATTTTTTCTCCTCTTCCTCTTCTTTTTCTTTTTGGGTCATTTCTTCTATGTCCTAAGATAATTTTTTTTACTTTATTTTCTAAGTATTTTATTGATCTTTTTATTTTTTACCATATACCTTTTAGGTCTTTTTCTATAAATGAACTTTATTAAGGCTTAATTTATATACAATGAAATGGTCCCATTTTTAAGTGTATATTTTGATGAGTTTTGACAAATATATACAACTGTGTAATCACATCACAATCAAGGTATAGAACATTTCCCCAGAGTTTTCTTGGTCCCCTTCCCAGTCAAACCCCACTCCACATCCAGGTCCTGGGTAGTCACTGATCAGATTTCTGTCATTACAGATTACAGTATCATTTCTTTATTGTCATGCTCAGCATGTGTTTTTGGGACTTACCCATGTTTCTACATGTATCAGTTGTTCATTCCATTTTTATTGCTGAGTCATATTCCATTGTATCATAGCTTTTTATCTGTTCATCAGCGGAAGGACATTTCAGTTTATCCAGTTCAGTTTTGAATAATAGCTAAAGACATTCATTTACAAGTCTCTGTGTGAACATACATCTGTATATTGCCTGAGCAAATACCAAAGGGTGGAATCGCTGGATGGCATGGTAAGTGTATGTTTAACTCTATAATAAACTGCTGATCTCATTCCCAAAGTAGTTGTACCACTTGATGGTCCCACCAGAAATTCACAAGCGTTCCATTGCCTCCGAATCTTTCTCATCACTAAGTGGGGTCAGAACTTACTTAGTCACTCCAGGTAACTTTGTTTCCTTGACAGGCCTGTCTCTTAAATAGAAAGGCTGAGGTCAGTGTTATCAGGTGCGCCAGGCCGAGGGAGGAATTCCTTGGGGAGCCCCACCCCACTCTAAAAGCAGTTTGCTTGGTTTCTCTGGAGAAGAGAAGCTTGGCCTTGGGACCAGGGCACCAGGCCAGCTGCCAGCTGCTCTGTGGCCTGGGTTTGTGAGGGAGCAGTTGTTCATCCCCGGACCTCTGGTTAATCCCCAGTGCCAGCCCCACCTACCCTGAGCCTCTGAGACCAGGACAGACAAGCCCCTGCCTCCGCGCAGCGCTCCTATTCTGGGATGCTGCTCCCTCTGCCCACACTTCCCCAAATTTGTTGGATGCTCCCATCTGCGGACACCTCCCGTGCCCACTCACTGCCTTTCTGTGCGTCTCTGCCGATCCTTTCCGTGAAGAAGCCTTCAGGGAGAAGAGACAGGGTGTACTCAGTTCTCTGCACTGAGACCTCTGTGGGCAGAGACGAGTGCATGCTGAGGTGGAGAAGCAGACTGCAAAATGGCATATACGGGGCACGTATTTTATGTTAATAAAAATATACGCACGCTACTGCTAAGTCACTTCAGTCATGTCCAACTCTGTGCGACCCCATACCCGGCAGGCTCCCCCGTCCCTGGGATTCTTCAGGCAAGAACACTGGAGTCCGTTGCCATTTCCTTCTCCAATGCCTGAAAGTGAAAAGTGAAAGTGAAGTCGCTCAGTCCTGTCCGACTCCTAATGACCCCATGGACTGCAGCCTACCAGGCTCCTCTGTCCATGGGATTTTCCAGGCAAGAGTACTGGAGTGGGTTGCCATTGCCTTCTCTGAATATACACATATGTACACAAAGTGACAGGATAGACATAAAAATGTTTGTAAGAGTTATCTCTGGGTGATGGGGTTAAAGTGATCTATGGGTTTTTTAAATTTTTTAAACACATGTTTTCTAAACTGTGGTCGTGAGTGTGGCAGTTTGTGTAGTGTCTGAAGGGGAGGGTCACATGGATCTGATCTGGATTTTCAGATGGACAGGAAGGAGAGCACAGGTGGGGACTGACCTCAAGTCCCAGGTGTGACAGGGAAGTTCTTGTAAACCAGCCACAACTTCATTCTCTCCCCAAGACCACAGACAGTCTGGGGCCGCTGTGTGAGCTCAGGGACACGTTGTCCCTTCATGCTCTATGGAGCTGAGTAAAGTGACATTTCCACATTCTGAGACCAGAAGTAAGACTGTGCTAAGAAATGTGCCTCCTGCCTGACAGAGGAGAGCTGACTCTTCACCTCTCACCCCAAGGAGACTTTCCACGGGCTCCCTAAGACCCGCACGATTGGGCACCAAAACACTGTTCTTTCAGCTCTTGGCTACTTTGATTGGAAGTAAGGAGTTTCAAATCATCTTTTTCAAGATTTATTTCATTATTTTAGGCTGTGCTAGGTCTTCATTGCTGCACTGGCTTGTCTCTGGTTCTGGCAAGTGGAGGCTGTCGAGGTGCATGGACTTTTCATTTCGGGGGCTTCTCTTGTGGTGGAGACAGGCTGTAGGCATGTGGGCTCCGTCATGGTACAGGGGCTTAGTGGCTCCGTGGCATGTGGGATCTTCCCAGGCCAGGGGTCGAACCAGTGTCCCTTGCATTGTAAGGCAGATTCTTAACCACTAGGTTACCAGGGAAGCCCTGTTTTATTTAAAGTTATCTTTTGTTTTCTAAATCTTTACTTGTTCCTTTTTGTCTGCATCGGGTCTTAGAAGTGCTGTGCAGGCTCTTCATGTGGTGCACAGGCATCTCTCTAGTTGCCCCGCGGCACATGGGGTCTTAGTTCCCTCACCAAGGGTCAAACTGGCATCCCCGGCATCCCCAGCATTGGAAGGCAGATTCTTAACCACTGGACCACCAGGGAGGTCCCAGATCATCCTCTTGATGTCTGGGAAGAGTTTAACAAGACTGCAGAATACACAGAATAAAGACTGTTGATATCTTGTCCACAGACAGACTCAACTGTGCTTTCCATCTATGTGTTTGTTGCCAGTGCAAAGGTAAATTCCAGCAACTCCATCAGTCAGTGATCTTCCTACCAAGGAAACAGACAGATCATAGCTGCTAAATGCCCTTCAAGCCCTTGTACACAACCCTGCGAATAAAGGTGAGCCGTGCTGACCTGATACTAGGCTTTTCATAGTGAAGGTTGGGTCACCTTTCACTTTCCTCAGAATGTGCAGTAACAAGGAGATTTCTGACTTTACAGAAATGGAAGCAGAAGCCTCTTAGATACTCCCCTCAAGAAACGTGTCCTTGTTGCGTTCAGAGAAAAGACGTTCGCATGCTGGTCTGCCGTCGAAGCTTCTCTCTCAGTGCAGACAGGAATGCCTCTGGTCTGGAAATTCATCAGGGATGAGAACAGAGGGACAGCCTGCCCGAAGACAGAGCTTTATATGCTTTTCTCCAGCCTTTGAAGGATCTTTGAAGAGACCACAAGTGGATGAACTGGCTGCACCTGGCTGTGCTATGTTCCTTGTAGCTGCTGACAATGACTCAGGAACAAACACTGTATGACAATAGAATTGCTGCAGCGCTCAAAAGATTCTGCTGTGGTTTCCCATCCCAGTCCCCTCTGTGCTCTACAACCACGCCCCCGAGAAGGAGAGGTTCACCTTACAATGACTTCCAGTACACTAAGGGTGTTGAAGAATGGACATTTGGACATGGGAGCATGTGTGATAAACTCACATATGCAAAGGGCCTGACGCTAAACAGCCAGTCACCAGCACATGCCTGCAGCTACCAGGCAGGTGGGCGCTTTCTGAGACTGGGAACAGCCCTCCACAAGTCCTAACCCTGGTGCTACAGGGATGTCGTCGTCACGTGAGTGAGGCTGGGAGTCGGGGTGTCACGGCTTCAGAAGAACAGAACTGCTGCTCAGCGTGAAGTGTATGTTCATCTGTATCTGGTTTCCTGCTGCAAGAAAGAAGGGCATCCTCAGAGTCCAGATAAGTGTTGTTAGGGAGGGACAGGAGGGAAGGCCTCCTGCTCACCAGGACAGGGGGACTCACGTTTTCGCCCATTGATTAGTCCTGCTGTGTGTGCAGCCTCCTTTACATTAAAAAGGATACAGATACTGATAAACACACGAACTTGGGTGAATCTCCAGGGAATTTTGCTGGTCTTAAAGAGCCAACCTCAAAAGGTGACACACCATAGGATACCATTTAAACAACATTTTTGAAATGATGAAATTTTAGAAAAAGAGAGCAGGCTAGTGGTTTCCAGGGGCCAGGTACAAGGGGTAGAAGCGGGGGTGGGGGCTGCAGAGGGCGCAGGAGAGACCCTTGGGAAGCTGAAACCTCCCAGCACCTTTATGCCTGGTCACCCAAGCCTGGATGCCTGGACACTTGGACACCTGACGACTGTGCCCACGCTTGGAGTGGCCTTCATTCTTGCCCCTCCGGCTTCCCGGGGTGCTATTTTCAAGCTGGCCTTCCCCCTCAGGAAGGTCGAAGCCCCCAAGCAGATGAATTTTATAGTCAGTGGGAGGATTTCTGCCATGGGAAGTACCTTGACAAGGCTGCTTTCCAGATGCCACAAAATTGTACTAAAGTTCACATAACATTTGCCATCTCAACCACTTCTCAGTGTCCAGTTCAGAGGTGTCTAGAATATTCACGCTGTTGCGCAACCACGCATCACCACGGACAGTGGTGATGGACAGAACTTTCTCGCCTTCCCAAACTGAGACCCCGTCTCCATTAAATAGTAACCCCACCCCCCTCCCTCAGTCCCAGGTGCGCAGCCTCCTCCTTCCTGCCTCTGTGACCCTGACCGCCCCAGGGGCCCTCCCCTGGGCTTGCTTGGGCCCTCCGCATGCCCGCCAGTACTTGCCGCTGTCCATTCTGATTGTTGCCATGTGATGGGGGTAGAGTTTTCTGCAGTTACCTGAATCTGCATTTCGCTGGTTACTAAGGAGTCAAAGCAACTCTTCATGTTCTTGTCATGCACTTATGTTTCCGTTTCTGCCCATTTTCCTGTTGCCTTTCTCTTTTCTTTGTTGAGTTGCAGGAGGCTCTTGTAGATTCTAACCAGTCATCCTGGTCTGTTTTAAAGAAATGTTACCATTTAGAAACTTTTAAAATTTCTAAAAATTTCTCAGTATTTTGTGCAAAATACAGGTAAACTCAAGTAAGAAAAGGAAAACAATCTATGATGCCCCTACTTGGACAGAATCACTGGCAACATTTTTCTGTGCCCTGTGTGTGTGTGTGTGTGTGTGTGTGTGTGTCTACCCACACATGGAATCAGAGAAGCTACCTTTTTCAGTTAACAGCTTATAATTTCCTGAGCACATTTCACACCCTGGTCTTTGCACAGATATGACAGTGTGAGCACTGTTTTCTTTTTCAAGGAGAACTGGCTTTGTTCTTGGAGCTGTTTCTTCCCTCCCTTAATTTAACTGTAATACATCAGGGCCTTCCCTGGTGGCTTAGTGGTAAAGAATCTGCCTGACAGTGCAGGAGACACGAGTTCAACCCCTGATCCAGGAAGCTCCCACATGCAACTGAGCCCAAGCACCACAACCACTGAGCCTCTGCTCTGGAGCGGAAGCTGCAACTACTGAAGCCTGTGCTCTGCAACGAGGGAAGCCACAGTAAGAAGCCCTCACACCGCAACTAGAGAAAAGCCCTCATAGAAATGAAGGCCCAGCACAGCCAAAAATAAAAATAAATAAAGGTTCCAGGTCAACTTCCCTCATTGTGATCCTCTTACACTGACTGAAACATTCCCCACCCCACCCCCCATCTAGAAATCAGTGTTTCCACCTGTTTTGCTTTTTTCAGTTCAGTTCAGTTCAGTCACTCAGTCATGTCCAAACCTGCGACCCCATGGACTTAAGCATGCCAGGTTTCCCTGTCCATCACCAACTCTCAGAGCTTGTTCGAACTCATGTCCATCGAGTTGGTGATGCCATCCAACCATCTCATCCTCTGTCGTCCCTTTCTCCTCCTGCCTTCAATCTTTCCCAGCATCAAAGGAGTCAGTTCTTCGCATCAGGTGGCCAAAGTATTGGAGTTTCAGCTTCAGCATCAGTCCTTCCAATGAATATTCAGGACAGATTTCCTTTAGGATGGACGGTTTAGATCTCCTTGCAGTCCAAGGGACTCTCAAGTGTCTTCTCCAACACCACAGTTCAAAAGTGTCAATTCTTTGGTGCTCAGCTTTCTTTATGGTCCAACTCTCATATCCATATGCGACTTCTGGAAAAACCATAGCTTTGACTAGATGGACCTTTGTCGGCAAAGTAATGTCTCTGCTTTTTAATATGCTGTCTAGGTTGGTTGTAGCTTCTCTTCTGAGGAGCTTTTAATTTCATGGCTACAGTCAACATCTACAATGATTTTGGAGCTCAAAAAAAAAAAGTCTGTCACTGTTTCCATTGTTTCCCCATCTATTTGCCATGAAGTGATGGGACCAGATGCCATGATCTTAGTTTTCTGAATGTTGAGT